GAGGGCTAGGAATGGGGAAAAAATAAGAACCAAGATGCATCATGTAAAGGTACAAGTTCCCAGTGAGAAATGTAATTGTGTTGTATACCTAAAATGTACCAATAAAAGAATTTTAAAAAAATTTTTAAAACTTAAAAAAAGAACCTAGGAATGGGCTAGGAATAAGGAAAAAATAAAAACCAAGATGCATCATGTAAAGGTGCAAATTTCCAATGATGAATGTCATTATATTGTATACCTAAAATGTACCAATAAAATGAATAAAAAAACAACACTGAGATTCTATCTCATTCTAGAAAGGATGGCTATTATCAAGAAATCAACCAATAACAAATGCTGGTGGGGCTGCAGGGAAAAAGAAACCCTTTTCCACTGTTCGTGGGAATGTAGACTGGTGCAACCACTGTGAAAATCCATGTGATTTCTCAAAAAACTAAAACTAGAGGTTCCATTTGAGTCAGCTATTCATCTTCTGCTTATCTTCCCAAAAGAATTAAAAGCATCATACCACACCAATATATGCAAACCCATGTTTATAGCGCCACAGTTTATAATAGCTAAATCTTGGAAATAGCCCAAATGTCCATCAACCAAAGGATGGATAAAGAAAATGTGTAGGTTTTTTTATACAAAGGAATACTACTCAGCCACAAAGGATAAACTTGAGACATTTGTAGCTAAATGAATGCACCTTGAGACCATACTCTTAAGTGAAATAAATCAGACACACAAGTTTAAATATCGCCTTGTTTCTCTGGTGTGAGAAACCAAAAGTGTAAATAAGGACCAAAATGTCCAATAGATATCGAGAAATAGGAAGAAAATGTTCAGATGAGAAGAGGAACAAGGTAGGGGGAGGGGAAAGGAAGGAAGGGACAAGAAAAAAGAATAGAAGGAAAAATGAAACAAAGCTTTTGTAAATAAAGAAGGGAAAAGAGGTGGGAGGGGAGAGATGGGGAAAAAAAAGAATCAAGCTATATCACATATAAGTACAAATTCCCTATGATGAATGTGATCATTATGCATATCTAAAATGTACCAATAAGATTAATTTAAAAAAATAAAGTCAGGTAAATGAAAAAAAAGCTCAAAACCAATATTCATGCCATGCCCCTTAGGGCAATAAAATATTTCTGAAATTATCATTATAAACATTATGACAAATGTGCTGCACTTAAACTGGGCACTTCCAAATATTTAGTGTATTACTTGGGAAGACAAAACCTACAATAGTACTGTTAGTGCATATTTAAATGAACTGAGATATGGTTTTGAGAGCCCTCTAGTGGCTGAATTCTTAATAGAACTATGAAAAAAGAAAAATAGGCTGTATTATCTAAACCATTACATTTTTAAAGTAACAAAGTATTAAATATTTGGCACTTGTGATTATTTTACAAAGAAAACTAACCCAGGTATCTTGAGCCGTAAATTACTGCATTATTGTACCATATTTGCCTTATACTCTCCAACATCATTATAAAGATGAGAAATGTAGTATTTATAAACTATTAAAAATTATGAAGGCAAACAAAAAATTTAAAAGCCGAAGAATTTCTTCTAATAAAATCAAAACATATGATCTGTCTACTACTCTTACAGGTAATCCCTAATTTACACACTCAAAAGTTGAATTTCATGAGTATATCAGCTTTTAAAATGCTGACTACATTTTGCCCCATATGAAGAGTGTTATGCATGCATTAGGGTTACAATCATTCCCACATGCTGGGAATCTTACAGGAATGCAAACCCAGCAATAAATGTGGCTGTGAACATAGGGATCCAACTTCAACCTGAGGAACACACTTCCCTGAGGCTGCTGCAGTAGGAAAGAGTCTGCATGTCACCAAGTACAATGCCAGGATGGGGCAGAGAGGGGAGGGGCCCAAGAGGCCCTGGGGGCAAGCCTGAAGATTCCCACTACAGGGAAAAGGTCTCCAGAACACCCCACTGTAATGGGAAATATCTCAAGTCCAGTATCTTTAAATCAGAGGACAATTTTGATGGGCATAGTAGTGGTTGGATTCCCTGACATGGTGGCTGGTCTTAACTAGGTTGCTTACAACAAATCAGACTCAAGTCAGGGCTGCTTTTCATCACTTAATCATCCATTCATTCATTTATTCTTTCATTGAATAAACAATCACCGAGCCTTGTCATTTAACATGCCCTTTGCTAGGTACAGTGAACATGAAGTCAAATTCATAGCCAGGCATGGTGGCACAAGCCTGTGATTGCATCACTCTTGAAGGATGAGGCAGGAGGATAAGTTAAGAGCCCAGGAGGTGCAACTTAGCAACGTAGGGAGACCCTATCTCAAAGTAAAAAATAAAGTGTTGGGATGTAGCTCGGTGTGAAGGCCCTGGATTCAATCCACAGTACCATAAGAGAAAAAGAAACTCACACCCATAAAATCCTAAGTTTAAGGAAAGAATTCTGATGTCATTAAACAGAATGATAAGAGCATAGTGGGGATCTATCTAATGGGGAGAAGTCTGTGGTTGTGAAATTTAAAGCAAGTCTGAAAAGACAAGCAGAAGTGAGGGCAATGGAATCTCAGAGAGGAGAGCAAAATTGTTGAGCATAACAGCAGAGGCTTAGTACAAACTTTTCCCTTTTTATACCAAAACAGGAAATCTGCTGTTTCATTTCCTATAAGGAAGATCTATGCTCAATACTTATTTATTGAAAGGCAAATGATACAGAAGTGCAGAGAATAAAATCACTGAAATATACCACCATTCAAACTTACACATGGCCTCTCCCCCGAGACAGGAGATCAGGGCATGGCAAGACTGGCTGGAGAAGTAGGTGTGACCTGTTAATTACAAAATACCAGGACACATGCACAGAACAGATCCTGAACAGGTGTGCACACAGACTTCTTTCAGCAGGTTGTTGATAGGATAGCCTAGACTTGATGTCAGTCTGATGAGTGATACAAAAAGAATAGTCCACATTGAGTTTTTGCCACTGTGTTCTCTTGCATGGTGGCCCATGCTGTAGGGTATACTTTTCCTAATTTTACTTGGCCAAAACTTTGCTACTGTTTGTGCCTGTCTTGACCAGTTCTTTGCTCAGGACAGAAAGAGCCTAGAAGCCACCTCCAGAAGGAGACTACAGCACCCCAGAGCCCAGTAACATCCCCACGACTCAGACCACTGTTTATGTTTTTTCTTTTTCTGTGCATTCACAAATATTTCCCCCTTCACAAAAACAATCATATTGCAAATAGTTTGTAACTTTAAAATATCTTAATAGATCCTAGGCATGCATCTTTCCATATAAAAGCATATAAAGTCCATATCATTTTGAACAGCTACCAGTATTTGGATATTTCACAATGACTCAGTGGACCATATCAATGAACATCTTGGGTTTTTATTTTTTTTTTGGTACCGGGGATCAAACTCAGATCGTTGCACTTTCGAGGCAGGTGGCAGAACCACTGAGCTAAATCCCCAGCCCACGTCTTGGCTTTTTTTTGTGTGTACATGTGGTACTGGGGATCAAACCCATGGTCTTTGGTACTCCCCCAGCCTATTTTGAGCTAAATCTCCCGAAGTGACTAAGTTGGCCAGCCATGCTGGGATTGAACTTGAGCTCCTCCTGCCTCAGCCTATCACAAATCACAGGTACATTTGCATAATGACAAATAAGGACAATAAAAATTACGCTGCTAAGAACAGTATGAAAATGTCTGCTTTCCTCATGCTCAATTTAGTAAGAACTGATATAGTATTAATTCTAATTTTATTACTTACCTAGTTGAGTATTTTTTATTGGCAAGTACTTTTCTCAAATGCTCATGTCCTTTGCTTGATTTCAAATCAGGAGACTCATTTCATTTGTACAATTTTTTTTTTTTGGATTTAACACTGGTATGTTGAATTTTTTTCTTAGTCTATCATCTTTCATTTGTTTATAGTGAGGTATATTTACTAATGTAAATGTTGGAATCTAGTTAATCGTTTTCATTCATGGTTTTGGATGAAGCACTGAGAAGTGCAAGGCCTTCTTAGGAAAGGGTGGAGGGGGAGTTGAAATTGGAATTAGCACTGTAACTGGGATTAGCAGTGCAATTGGGATTAGCACTGGGATTGGGATTAGCATGGAGATTGGAATTAGCAGTGGTGTTAGGATTGGAATTAGCACTGGAATTGGGATCAATGCTGGAACTGAATTAGTGATGGGACTGGATCAACAATGGAAGTGGCTCAGCTATGGAATCGGGAGTACTGCCAATCAGAATCATTTTGATCACACCTTTCTGAACAAACATTGATGGCATTTTTTTGGACAAAAAAGTCCTCTAAAAAGTCTTTTATTATGGTCTTTTCATGGCTACCTTGATGTTCTCAACTGATTCAAGATGTTAACGGCAATTTCTGCTAACTAAAAACATTAGTGTGTCTGCAACCACCTTATTAACTGGACCTGATACTGTGCATATTCTGGCTTGCGCCCCAAGTGGTCACACTGACCAGAGAAGGTAAACACTGTAAATCAATTCAGGCATGGAGCCTCAAATATTATATCTAAAGATGACAAGTTTTTAGAAGAATACAATTGTTTTGAGAAAACAAGTTATTACTTTATAAAATCTTTTCTTACAAAACCAAAAGCTGATAAAAGATAATCCTTCAGTTTATAAAATTATTTACTGTAAATTTGTATTCAATGGCATGTTCCCTTATGTTTGAAACAGAATATATCAAAGGTACATGGCTTCAAGGCTTTCCAAGAGTACACCTAATATAAACATGAGCAATTGCTGTGCAGGAGAAAAGTGGGAGGGAGGAAAAGGAGGAGGGGGAACAAGAAGAGGGAGAGGAGGAATTAAGTTAAAAATTGAGGCACTGGCAAGAAAGTGACTTTCTGACAATTTCTAGCCATTTCAGAGTCCTGAGAACGCTTTCATGGAATCCAGTGACACTCACTGCATGAAGACAAAACGTATACATTTAAACGTATCCTACCATTTGTACCTCAGAATCAACTTGCTCGTCAACTTTTATTTCTCCCTCCTGAATGAAGACAGACCCTCTCTCTTGTGGTTTGGAGTCTTCCTGGGCCTCCTGGCTGGCTGCTTCTGTTGTGCTCTTAGTTTCACTCTTGAAAAGCTCAGATGCTGCGGAAGTGTGCTGTGGAGACGGTGCGGGAGCAGCTTGCGGTGGAGTCACGTGGTCGTAGTGAGTGTGGAGGAGGCGGAGAGCGATGTCACTCGTCGCTAATATCCTTGGAATTTCAAATCCAGTTTGAGTGTCAGAGAATCTCACACTTTTGTACCTGTTGATAATTCATTTTGACAAAATGGATTAGGAAGCTCTAGGTGTATTTCAAATTTATCCTTAAGCAATGTTTTCCTCGATTTTAATTTCACTCCAGTTTTGAGTCCCAACCATACCAGTATTGTTTGGAGCTTTTGGACGCAGCTGCTGGTGTTAATCCTCAAAACTCTTGGATCCATAACCCCACACTGTTCTCTGCCTCAGCAGCTGCTTCTGTCTCCTTCACATGGCCTCTTCCTAACCACCTCTTTTTTTTTTTTTTTTTTACCGCCTCTTAATACTGATATGACTCACGGCTCCCTCACAGGCCCTCTGCTCTTCAATCCTTACACACACACACACTGCATAGTATCATATCTGTGGCCTCAAGTGCTCCTTATATTATCAGTGGTACTTAACCTGAGTTTTATTTTTCCTGGAGAGGGACAGGAGGGAGAGCTATCTATATGTGTGAAGATAGATCTAATTATTGGTTGTTCAGAAGACTTGGACTTATAAAAAATTAAGAACCTTGGTTCATTGTGGATGACTTCCAAATTCGGCCAGTTGTACTTCAACTCAAGTCCAGCAATGGATTTAGTTCTCCTACAACACCCACCTGCCCCATCATCAAAATAAAACCAAACTTGTCCAGCCTCCACCATTCCAATGTAGTAAAAGACACCACCTAATTCACTTCTAGCTTGGACAGTATAGATCAGCTTAATTTTTGTTTCTTTAAAACTGTACAAATTACCTTCACTCTTATATTGAACATTTTATAACAAAAGGGTTTACACAGTCTCTGGTTCAAGTACAGGATTGCAGTAAAAGGAACCTGAGAAATATTTTGTTCCTCCCTTTTACTAAATGTAAAAAATGAAGTTCATATTTTTCCTATGTCCTATTAGTCTTTTTAGAGCTGGGACCAGAACACCTTAGCCTCCTAACTTGTTTTCTGATAATTGTCCCCTGGAATTCACTGCCGTACTAACTCAATTAATTTGAAATGTTTAACATCAAGCTGCAACCAAGTGATTGGGAAATTATCATTATGATCATTCTTCAGGAAGATGTTTCTTGCAAACAATTGTGGAAACATCACATAAATCTCTAAGACAATGTAAAAATCTATTATTTTTGATAGCTCACACAGATATAATTTTTTTTAAATTTTAGACTGCCACGTAGACCACTTTTACTTTTAGGGGATACCAAGAGGTTAATGTGGGTGGAGAATGGACCTGTTATTTGTAGTAGATACCATGCTATAACTTTTACATGTATTCATGTTTAATCTTCAAACCATTCCTATTAAGTCAAATAATGTAATCATGACTTTACTGGTGATATACTGATGCTCAGCAAGGCTAAATAACTTGCCTAAAGTAAATGGCAGGTCTGTAATTCAAACCCCAGTTGGCTAACTACCCAACGGAGGTTTTCCATGTACACCATGCTGTTATGCAATAGGCATAGTCCTGCCAAAGATGGTGTGACCCTAATGTCACACCTACAGGGAAAGTATCACCCACTGCATACCTTGGGTTCTTCTTGAGGTTTGCCCACACATACAGGGTAACATTTTCATCTTGAATGATTTTTTCCATATTTCCAGTGTCCAGATCTGCCAAAGTACTCGCTTGCTGTAAGAGAAAAAAAGGAAAACATTACAAAGAACCAAAATTATACTTCACAGGCAAGTTATTTCATCACTTATGTAATGGATTCCTTTCATTAACAGAATAACCTGGGTAAAAAGTCTCAAAGTGACAGACTTTAAAAAATTATCTAAAGCATGCAAACATATTTACTAAATTAAATGTGCCTCTCTTTCTACTCAGTTGGCTTTAAGGTGTTTAATGATTAAATTTGCTCCTACAGGGTTGGGGTGTATAGATCAGTGGTAGAGCACTGGTCTACACGTAGTATAGACCAGTAGTATGCACACAGCCCTAGGTTTGATCTCCAGCTCTGCTGTGTTAGTCTCCTTTCCATTGCTGGAACAAAATGCCTGACACACAAAACTTAAAGGCAAAAGGTTCATGGTTTCAGAGATTTCAACCCATGGCCTGCTGGGTTCAAATGGCAGAGGAAAAGATACTCAACTCATGGCATCTGGGAGTAGCACAGCAGGTTGAAAGAATCAGAGAAAGAAGCCAGAGGCCAGATATAGTTCCCCTGTGACCTGCACAGACACACCCAGAAATACGCTTTACTAATCTAAGTGTCTCTTAGGCCAATCAGTTTGATGATCAAGATTCACCATCATAACCGCCACCATCACAACAAAGTCACTCCTATATCCCCATGTAGAAGCTGTACATTACTATTATATTACCTTTTCAATTTTTATATCAGAATCATCACATCAGAATCTTCTTCCTCCAACCCATTTTCCCCTTCTTGTTTTGGAGTATCACTATAGATTCATGGATTTTTATTTATTTGACATTATAGTTTATTATAGTCATTTTTTCTAATATTCAAATTGTTCCAAATTTGGCCATGGAGACCTCTTTTAAGCCACTCTGTGTAGACTCCATTCATGTGAGCCTCTGCTTGCTACCTAGCACAATAAGATAATCCAGCCTCATCTTTTCTTTGTTCTGCTCCAGACTTGGAATAAGCCATTAACTTTATCCGAACTAGACCCAGTTCCTTTCTTTATTCATCCAATGTGTGGTTCTGGGGATCAAATCCAAGGTTTCTCTCACTCTAGGCAAGAACCACTGAGTGACAACCTGATTTTTTTTTTATGCAGTAAAATCTGGCTCATCTTATTTCTACTTTATGTTACAATATATAAATGGAGATCAGAAAAACACTGTCTTTTCTCTTGAGTACTACTCCTTGTATTTCTTACTCTCTGCCCTACAATACACATAGTAGTTGTAAATTCACAATATGAATAATACTGATAAGAAGTTGGTAAAAGATAATTAGTATAAGCTTCTTTGTAGTACTTTTCAAAATTAGAAAATAGTCTACTCAGGTGATACGAAGGACTGTTCTAGAACAAAAGAATGTGAGAGACAAGACAGTGAAAACAGTGTATGAGGATAGACTGGATATTAGAATTATGACATTAATTTTCTTACGTATAATGATACCTGGGTCTTACTAGTGTTGAGATATTCATTGGCAAAATACAGTATCAACAACTTTCAAGTAGTACCAGGAATAAAGATATAGATATGGTAATTAAAACATCAAAAACTTATTGATTTTTATATATCAGTATTATCTCAGTAAAGCTAAAAATTTATTAAGTCCAGATGGAGAGTATATGGATCATGGTATATTCTTTTAATCTCATGTTCAACTAAAGTACTCTTCAAATGTTAGAGAAAAAAGAATACTATATCAGGGAAATGTAACCTTATGTCAAATGATTTATGCAGTGACTAATATTGTTCTTGTGAACTTATTTTTATAGTGAACTTAGTAAACCTTGAAAAATATATGAAAAATGACTAGCTACATTAAAAATGTTTTCTTTAAAAATATTAACAGCTACAGTGATAAAAAAAAAACAGCATGATATTAGTCAAAAAAACAGACTTGAATATTAATGGAATAGAGTAGAAGAGGCAGAAATAACTCCAAGTACACTCAGCTACTTTACAATTGGCAGAGGGGCCAAACATGTTTACTGGAAGAAAGCCTCTTTATTTTTTTAAATTTTGTTTGTTTGTTTATTTATTCATTTCTTTTTTGGTACTGGGGATTGAACTTGGGACCTTGTGCTTGTGAGGCAGGCAGTAGAACCACTGAGCTAAATCCCTGGCCCCAGAAAGCCTCTTTAATAAATGGTGCTGGGAAAACTGGCTTTTGACACACTAAAGATTGAACCTAGACCTGTATCTCCCACCATGCACTAAGCTAAAATTGAAATGGATCAAAGATCTAAATGTTAAGACAATCTGCTGGGAGACACAATAGGTAAAACCCTTGAAGACACTGATGTAGACAAACACTTTATAAATAAAACCTTATTGCACAGGAAATATTACAAAGAATCAACAACTGGGATCACATTAAATTAAAAAGCTTTTGCACAGCAAAGGAAACCACCAACAGAGTGAAAAGACGCCCCACAGAATGGGAAAAAAAATTTTGCCAGCTACTCCTTAGAGCTGTGGTGGTTAACCTATGGCACGTGTGTGCCACAGCAGGCTGTTATCACTGAAAGCTCTTAAAAGGATCGCCATCACTTCCTCAGACAGAGGACTAACATCTAGAATATATAAAGAACTCAAAGAAATGAGATCCCTCAAATTTAAAGACCCAATCCAAAAATGGGCATCTGAAGTGAAGAGATACTTCTAGTACATAAATAAAAAACATAAAAAATGCTCAAAATTGCTGGCTATTTGAGAAATGCAAATTAAAACACTGAGATTCCACTTCGCTCCAGAAAGAATGGTTATCATCAATAAATCAACCAATAACAAACACTGCTGAGGCTGTGGGGGAAAAAGGAAGCGCTCTCCATTGTTGGTGGGACTATAAATTGGTAAAACCACTATAGAAAGCAGTATGGCGATTCCTCAAAACCCTAAAACTAGAGCTTCCATTTGACCCAGCTATTCCTCTTCTAGGTATCTTCCCAAAAGAGTTAGTCTTTACACCACAGTGATACATGCATACCCATGTTTATAGCAGCACAATTTATAATAGCTAAATCTTGCAAACAATCCATATGCCCATCAAGATGAATGGATAAAGAAAGTGTGATATTTACATACAATGCAGTACTATTCTGCCATAAAGGATAACTTGAGACATTTTTAGGCAAATGGATGCATCTCAAGACCATAATTTTAAGTGAAATAAATCAGATGCACAAATTTAAATATCACATTGTTTCTCTTGTGTGATAAACCCAAAATTTAAATAAGGAGCAAAAGGGAGGACAGATATTGGGCAATAAGAACTTATTCAAATGGGAAGGGGTACAAAAAGAGGGAGTGGAAGGGATTTTTAAAAAAAGAATTGGAGGGAAAAATGGAAACAGAGCTCTGTATATGGGGAAAGAAGGGCTGATGGGAGGGGAGGGGAATGGCGAAAAAAAGAATTAAGATATATTATGTACAGGTACAAATTCCCCATGATGTGATCATTATGCATGGCAAACGCACTAATAAAAAATAATTTTAAAATATTAATAGTTGCTAGATCTGCACCAATACATGTACTTTAATTGTTTTACTAACTTTATAACAATATTGGATTATTCCATTATAAAGAGTGTAACATTTTAATGCTTATAAAAGGAACATAAGAAAAATATCACACATACTCTGAGCAGTATTTCCGTGGCTATGTTAAACTTAAGATGAAGGAGCTCCTGAAGCTGTGAAATTGATCCTTCATATTGTATTATGTTTTTGTCTCTCAAATCACGTGGCGCAGTTTCCAATAACATTAATTTCAATTTCTCAATTAACTGTAACATAAAAGGAAATTTACATCAATTCATTGACAAATAGTCAAAAAAGTGAAAAATGGGGTGTTCATTCATTTTTGAATTGAGGAACATCTTAGTAAAACATGCAAAAATCCTTTTCTGTATTTATTTTGTAACTTAAGATCATAGAGAAATAAAATATTTCCTCCTAAAACTCTTTTACAATATTCTTCCCTCTGTATAACAGAGCTTCTATTAACAAGTTGATGAGTCACTACTTGTCATTACTTAAGGCTGTAAAACAATAGGGATGTGTCAGTCCATTTTATGTTGCTAAAGCAGAATACCTGAGGCTGGGTACTTTATGAAACAAAGAAGTTCATTTAGTTCATTGTTCTAGGGGTTCAGGAGCACAGCACCAGCATCTACCCAGATCTGGTAATGGCCTCACAACAGTGGGAATGTATACAAGGGTGGTGTGTGCAGAAAAGGGATTCAGAGTCTTCACAAAGTTGGAATAAGCATGGTCCATCTAGGATCTCGGAGGGGGAACTATTGCCAAGTCACAGCATTTATTCATGGACGAAATAAATCTTAAAACCTATTGACTACATCAAATCAGGCAACACATGGAATGTGTTGGACATTTTGGAGCCATAACATCTTAGAGCAACACGGAGAAGTTAACAATAGCAGCAGTGACATGAAGCATAAAATTTTTGTGGGTGGAGCAAAAAGCACTAGAGGTTAATAGGAACAGGAACAGTGAATTCCTTCTAGTATCTATATCATGTATGTGTGTTGAAATGTGGGCTTCTATGGTTGTGATCCTAATATGTGACTTAAGTAACATATTTGGCTTCTGTCCCAGATTCCAGAACAGAAATTCTAAAATCCTTGGCGTGACAGCGGTGAGGCAAACTATTTTTTCTAATAAGCTGTATTTAACCATATTGGAGTTTAAACTAGTGTAGCAACTCTTGGAGAATGCGGGCTGGAAACCAGGTAATTACAGGGAAAATTTCAACTCTACTCCTTAGCCTTAAGGGAGGGGAGGCTGGAGATCAATTTACCAATGGTGCATGACTTAATCAGTTATGCCTACATAATGAAGTCTCCATAAAACCCCTGAACAGCCGGGTCAGGGAGCTTTTGGGTTGGTGAACACATTGAGCTACTGAGAGGAAGGCATAGAGAGAGAGGGCATGGCACCTCCACAACTCTTCCCACACACCTTGCCCTCTGTATTTCATCTAGCTGTTGATTTGTGCCACATTTAATATTCTTCATAATAAGCTGCTAGACCTAAGTAAACATTTGCCTATGTTTTGTGAACCATTATAGCAAGTTACCTCATCTGATGAGGGAGCTGTGGGGAGACTAACTGGTTGCTTGAAGTATAGGTGACAACCTGGAACTTGTGATGGAAAGGGGCATAGTCTTGTGGGACTGAGTCCCTCTCAACTGTGAGGTCTGTGCTAACTCTGGGTCACTTCAGCACTGGGTTATAGGTCACCTAGTTAGTATCCTATCTGGGGCTGTGGGAAAGCCCCAAATATTTGTTGTCAGAAGTACTGCAAGGATTAAAAAAAAAGTCTCTCTTGTTTTTGGAATGTGAGGATTCATATCTTTCAGTTTGGAAAATTTTCGGCCATTGTCTCTTTGAATATTATCTCTACTATTTAAATTTTCTTCTAGTATTTCTCCTTGTACTTCTAGTCCTTATTCCATCATACGTGTCTGTTAACCACTCTTTCACATTTTCTACCTCTGTCTCTGTGCTGTGTCCTGGTAAATTCTACCAATCCAACTTTGGATTCACCTGTGGTCAAGAATTCTCAGCCAATACCTTTGTTTCCTCTTTTCTAAGGTGAAGATGAACCAAACACATTTTCTTATTTTTTGCTTCAATTACATAAAGAAATGTCTTGTATTTGTGTTATGTTGATAAGGTGGCAAGAGACTGTTATAAAATGAAAAGTTAAAAAAAATTACCAAGTCTCTCTCTATAATCAAGGATTCAGAAGCAGTAGTGTTACAAATTGACAAATCATAATTAAATTTTTGTTTTTGGAGTTAATGTAAGACTCTTTGTAATTTAGTTTATGTTACTGGACACTTGAATACTTACCTGTAGCACTAGTTTGCTCTTCTCAATCACTATCTCAAAAGTTTCATTTGTTTCCTCTTTCCACAAGCTAATGAAAGTATTCATTTCTTGGGGTACAGAAGGATCAGGACTCCCATCACACTGAATGTAGCGTTTCCACTGTGGAATACAAATGTGTAAAGCTTCACACTCATAATCTTTTTAAAAGTCTGCTTTCTCAGAACTCAGTTTTCCCAATTTAGACAAAAACTTTTGATGACATAAGCCAGTGACTTAATGTAAGCCAAATAGTAACTGACTAAATAAAAATAACCAGACTTTTTCACATAAATTTCCAATCTTCAAGCTGCAGACAAATAAAAGTTCTATTTATTATCATATTTTTGTTTTTAAAACATTTGAGTTGGTTTTTACTTTTTTTATTATAGAGCTTATCTGTAAAGCCAACATTTGAGCTAATTTCTATTTTTAAAATTGTTACTATTTAGGGCCAGGGATCTAGCTCAGTGGTGCTGCTGCCTGCCTCAAAAGCACAAGGTCCCGAGTTTGATTCCCGGTACCAAAAAAAAAAAAAAAAAAAGTTACTATTTTCTTGTGCCACTGCCATTTTAATAGGAGTCCTTCTATTATTTTATAATCTACACAAATTTTACATTTGTAATCATTCACTTTTTACTTAAAATGACTGTATACCGTAATCATCTGCCATATTATAAGCAAGTTGTATTTAACAATCTAGAGTGAAAGAAGGGCATGCTTTAGCTCCATATTCTAAGAATCATATATGCTACTATACTCATGAAAGTGTTTGAAGATAATTTTGCCTTTAATAACAATTGTAAAATTTGCCTCAGATAAAGAATGGAATTGAAGATGTTTAGATGTGGTTTAGCAAAGTATGTGATATGCCTAAATATACATTCATAAAAATAAAAGGAAACCTTTAATATAGGAGAAAAACCATGTACATTGGTTCAGACTGCATAAAGGAACAAATGACAATATGAACAGGTTATATTTCTGTTGACTTTATGATGTATAAAATTATGAAACATAATGGAATAAAAGTGTCTAAGTTATTCACATCTCTATTGCATTTCAGAGTTTAAGACTTAGTCATTTCTTAGTCACAGTTTTTGTTGATAAAGTATTAGGACAATTAGAATTCCAAGACTTGAAATAGCTTGACCATTGAAGCCAACATTGTTCCAGTACATTCAAGTCTTAAATGGAAAACAAAAAGGATGAATGAATTAAAAACTATGTTGTATGTAAATAAACTATTATAGCTTTATAAACCATTCAGTTAAAAAGGACAGCTCATAGGTTTCAGTCTGATATGTCCCTTCAGTGATCCATAAATGTCTATAATTAAATAACATCATTTTCTTCAAAGGAAATCGTTACTTGTTACGTAAAGCAGCTTGTAAATTTAATTTTTGAGAAAGTGTTTTGAATTTTAACATTTGACAAAGTGACTTTTTAATTGAATTAGGAATTTTCCTTCAAGAACTAAATTATGTACTCTATTGATGTAGTACAATCATCAAATGGCCCTAAATTCATTGTAACTGGCCACTCATAGTAAATAAGGAAATAACAGGGAAAAACAGTTTATTCAAAGAGCACATCTCAAGCTCAGCACTGGCTACCCAGCAAAAATACTTGTCAAGCATTTCTCTGATCTGTTATAAACTCTTTTGCTGCCTGATACTGCATTACCAGTCTCATAAGCCATCCTTTCATGAGAGTTTTAGGAATTCTTACCAAGACCAAGGATATGATCTCAATCATCAAAAACTTGTACTTGTTAGTCCTTTCCATACTTTTTTTTTTAAAGATTAAACACTTCAGACCAGAACAATTAACAGAAATGACGAGACTCAAAATAGCCATGATTAATGAACTAATAAGAGTTCATTCTAATGATGATGCAGTTGGCAAGGAAATTAGTGTGCATGGTGCTGGGAAGTGAATCCAAGCCCTGTGCATGCTAGTGTTCTACCACTGAGCTTCATCTCCAGTCCAAATATAGACACTTCTGTTGCATACATCTTAACTAGAATTGTAACTGGTAGCATTACATCATAACTGTCAGATTTCAATGAATTTCACACAATTTTTAGAAACATATGAACACATTCCTACAAATATAACTTAAAGAAGATTCAGTATCACTTATTTATCCCTATTTCCCATACAATTTAACATATTGAATAAACCTAATTGGTTTAATGTATCTCCTTCAGATGTCCCAAAGGCCTTTTGGAATGTCCCAAAGCTAGTTAAAAGTCAAACTAGAGGGCCAGGGATTTAGCTCAGTGGTTCTGCCACCTGCCTCGAAAGCGCAAGGTCCCGAGTTCAATCCCCGGCACCAAAAAAAAAAAAAAAAGTCAAACTAGAACTTGATTTGGGGAAAATTTATCAAAAATATTAAATGTTCCAAAGTCTTGATCAAAATAAGATCACAAGTCATTGGGAACAAGTCCTACATTTAGCCAAAATTACAAAATACTTTAGAGGCAAATACAGAAAACCACACAGCCATAGGAAAAAAATCCCAGTACAGTGCACCCTCAAGTTACGACCCGCCCGACATACGAACAACTTGAGTTAATTAGGTTAACAGAAGATTCACCTGCCTCTTGTTATAGCATGTTCCCAGGTAAACATCCAGATCTCAGCTATTTTGACTTAGTTACAACCAGCCCTTGGGAACTGATTGAGTTCATAAGTCAAGGGTCCACTGTATTCAATAGGGAAGATTCAATTCCTAAATAATCAAAAGACCTAATATAAGTCTATTTTCTAGTAAGAGCAGAGTAATTCTGTCACTTTAGCAACAGAAAATCCTGTTGCTTTAGCATAAAGAACAAATTCAAATTTTGCAAACTTTAGATAATAGCGTTCAATTCTTAGAATAACTTATAAATAATTATATTTTAATTTTACCTAGCTTAATAACAAAATTCTCATCTCACCCCCCCCCCACATTTTTGGCACAGTATTGGGGATTGAACCCAGGGGTTTCACAATAAGCTACATCCCCAGCCCTTTATTTATATTTTATTTTTGAGACAGGATCTCACTAAGTCACTATGTTGCCCAGGCTGGGCTTGAACTTGCAATCCTCCTGCCTCAGCCTCCCAAAATACTGGGATTACAGGTGTGTACCACCAGCTCACAAGAGTCATCTTTCACAAACTTTATAATCTTCTTTTATTCTTTCAGTGACTTGTCATACTATACTATTTTCATTTGGAAAGAAACCCATTCTACTTTAGATCAAAAAATTATTCTTTTCCTTTTAAAAAACATCTAATACCCTATCCAGAGGTGGCAAACCTTTTAGAGCTTTCAATGATAGACAGCTGAGGCAAGCATGCCATAGGTTCTTCAACACTGCCTTATATTCACCCATCCAAAACATTTTCCATAAAGAATTATTATTCTAATAATTACCTTCAATTAGGGTTTAACTCTTAGTAGCTTTAATTTTTAGTAAAAACTTAGAAAGCAGGCAATTTTGAACTATTTTAGACCAGCATTTTGTAGACGCATATTTTATAATTTCTAGAAACATGATTTCTCATATTTTTCTTATCTACTAAGTACCCAAAGATACCTAGCTTTTCTATACCACATGAACACAAAATGTTCCACTAGCAGAATTTAGTAAACTGAAACCAGCACTATATTTTTAGTACTAAAGTCAACAAACATGCCCAACACAAGGAGTTCAAACTCATCCACTGAGCTGCAAATACTAGTGAGCGGGCAATCTTTTTCAGAGTACTTGACATAATTACTAACTTTCTGCATTTTTTCTATTTGTGAATATATTCATCTATTTTTCTTATGACACTCAAGGTGAAAACTACATCTACCTTGTCATTCTATCCCTGGCCCTATTAAAATATCTTAATATAGACAGCCAGATGTTTGTTAAATAAATGTGCTATTAACCTCAACCAATGTTTTCATTACTCAATGTTTTCCAATTAGACAAGCCACATTCTACATTTTGTCAATGAAAATAATGAACATCTGTTTTCGGAACAACTTCTCCTACCCTACTGAGGTGGGAGATTAGGGCATGGGCAACCAGCTAAGCAAGTGGGCGTGACCTGTCAATCTCAGAGTTCCAGGACACCCGTGCAGAATTCAGTTCCCAAGCCCCACATCTGGAACCAATCAGAAAATGCTATCTTCAATTTTTCTGGTGCAAAATCAAGCAGGTCTTTGATTGGATGGCCAATATCTCATGTCAGCCTGAAGAATGAGGGATGCAAAAGACTTCTCTGCCTTTAACCTCACGGCCTCTATGAGCTTTCTCCATGGCCTGCTCTCATTCTACAGAGCATACTTTTTTTCCCTACTTTTAATAAGTGTAAAACCTTGCTACCACTTTTCTACAGGACACCAAGGACCAGGGAAGAGTCAACAGAACCCTAGCACTTGGTAATGCCACCCAAACATTAAAGATAACTGGAAGAGCCAGGAGTGGTGGTGCACGTGTGTAATCCCAGCATTCAAGAGGCTGAGGCAGGAAGATTGCTGCAAGTTTGAGGCCAGCCTGGGCTATATAGTGAGTTCAAGGCCAGCCTGAACTGCATAGTGAGACCCTGTCTCAAAAAAAAAATACATACATGTATATATATATATATACACACACACACACACACACACACACACACACAAATAAATAAAAGATAACTGGGAAGTCTCCATTGGTCAAGTCATACTTGTACTCTGTTCTCCTCCAATACATAACAAAAGAACAGTTGAAAAGTAAGTTTCAGTGTTTTACTTAAAAGTGACTTGGATATGTCTACCACTTAATCCACAACATGATTCTAAGAGAAACCACTGAGGAGATTTCTGAAACCCTGACAAGTTTGTTCACAAATTTTCATCCCAGTTTTATATTCATCTCATTTATTTTTTGCAGTTATGCAGCAAATGTTATCGGGTTTTGGGGTGCTAGTGTCTCCTGGAGGTGGCTTCTATGTTCTTTCTGTCCTGAGCAAAGAATCAGTCAAGGCAAGTGCAAATGGTAGTAAAGTTTTATAAAATGTGGGGGAAAAAAACAGGCTCTGCAGAGTGAGTTTGGGCCAAGTAGGAAAGTAAGTACCCCCTTCAGCGTGAGGGCAGGACACCGCGTAAATGTGAATGTAGTGGCAGAAACTCAGTGTGGTCTGTCCTTTTTGTATCACCCAGCCATCAGGCTGACCTCAGGTCTAGGCCATCCTACCCGAAACCTGCTCAAATTCTCATGAGAAATTCACACGCAGGGCCTGGGAACTGCTCTGCGCATGTGTCCTGAGATTCTGTAATTAACAGATCATATCTACTTCCCCAGCCAGTTTTGCCATACCCTAATCACCTGTCTCATAACCACCACCCCAAAATAAGTCACTTTGGTGCAGGACCCTTTAACAGGGCCTCCAGAAGAACTCAGCTGTTATCACTCCCCTGAAAATTAGCTCTTAACAAGAAGAGGGAATTTCTCCTACGATGAGTGTTAGCATTATGTATGCCTAAAATGTACCAATAAATGTTTTGCTATTAAAAAAACAAAACAAAACACCATGCCTGCCTGGAAAGCATGAGGTCCTGACTTCAATTCCTGGTACCAGAAAAAGAAAAAAGAAACAATACATAGAGAGAAGAAAGAAAGAAAAGAAAGAAAAGAAAGAAAGAAAGAAAGAAAAGAAAAGAAAAGGAAGAAAGAAGGGAGGAAGGAAGGAGGAGAGAGAGAGAGAGAGGAGAGATAGGAGAGAGAGAGAAAAGAAAAAAAAAGAAGAGGGAATTTCTTCATATGCACACAGACCTTGTTACAAACCATCTTCTAGTGTAAGGCCCAAAGTAAAAATGGGCAACTTCACAGCTCAGCCTTTGTTCTTTTACTTAAGTTACCGAATTCAGGGTGACATCCATTAACACACAGGAGACAGAAAACATCTTCCACTGCAGACTGAGATAATTTATTATTCTGAGCATGAGTGTTCCAATCAAGGGAAAAGGGGCCGGGGATTTAGCTCAGTGGTTCCAGCGCCTGCCTGGCAAGTGCAAGGTCCCAAGTTCGATCCCTGGTACCAAAAACAAACAAACAAACAAACAAACAAACAAAAAAACAACCTGATCAAGGCAAAAGGGTGGTTTAAAAAGCTCAACTATAACATACCCCCCCGCCCACTTTGTCTTTTAAAAGCCTCTGGTACTAGGTAAAACAAATGTATCCCATTGTTTCTAAGACTTTTTAATCCTTCCTCTTGTAATATACTGTATGTACAAGCTAGCAATATTATCTGTATTAAAACTTCCTCACTGTGAATATTGTCATCCCAATTTATTTCTTAGTAAGGTTCATCCATTTCTCTAAAAAATAAATTCTGGGGATTCTTATTCATGAAATTGGCTAGAGTTCCAAATGTAAGTGAGGCATGGCAGCGCATCCCTATAATCCCTGCAGTTGGAAGGCTGAGGCAGGAGGATTGCCATGAGTTCAAGGCCAGCCTGAGATACATACAACAGTGAGTTTAAGGTCAACCTGAATTCCAGAGCAAGATCCTGTCTCAAAAAAAAAAAAAAAGTGCTGGTGGAACAGTGGTGAGCATAGCTGCCTTCCAATGGAGGAGTTCTAAACCCAGGATCTAGTCTCATTTCTGGCTGGCCCAACCAGCCACCATGAAGCTCAAGTAGCTCCTCTCCCCTCTCACAGCAAAACCAGCCCTTAGTCCTGAAGTAGGACAGAATTAAAATCTAGGTGACAAAAATAGTTTAGAAATAAGCTAGGTCTAGTGGCGCACGCCTGCAATCCCAGCACTCGGAGGAGGCTGAGGCAGGAGGATCACAGTGAGTTCAAGGCCAGCCTAAACTACATAGTGAGACTGTGTTTCAAGTAACCAAAATAAATACAAATGAAAACTGTACCTTCAAGACGCAAGTCCAGTTTATTATTTTTTTCTCTCTTCTCTCAAACACAATAAGCCTGGGCAATTCCCTTTCTCCTATGAATGGTTCAGCCACTTCCTGCCACCTGTGGATATTCACAGCCGCCTGTGGATACACAGCCTTCTCCTCTGTGGACTAGGCCCCACCCACAGCTTAAAGGCGATCTGACTGGGCCAGCCTCCATCCACCAAATCAAGACCAAAAATGTCCACCAAAGACGACTTTTCCACCTATAAATTAGGCCACCACTGGAAAGACAGAGATGCTCTTACTGCAGATGATGACCAAAACTATACATTATCAAAAGCCACAAATTTCCAACACCAAAACCACATCAGTATCCCCACTTCCAAACTGCAGCATGCCTCTCCCCTCTCTCAGGCCCGAATTGTTTGAGTGTTTCCTAAAACATCTGCCTAATAAACCCTTCCCAACCCTCTTACTGATGTGCCCTGAAAATTTCCTTTCTTTGATGGGAGTGTTGCTCAACTCCTCAGATTCCACAGGTTGACGGTGGGCAGGTAAGATGTCTTTATTTCCAGCCTGGCGTCCAATAGGGGTCCATAGTGGTGGCTTTCCCCGTAGCAACCTGGCTGGACAGGGTACTTACCGGGGATGCCAGGTGGTGCATCTGCGCTGGAGTCCTGCTGACGAGACCCAGCACCTCCCAGAAGCCCCTTCATAGCCTGAACCACTGCGCAGCCATCTTGGGCTTCGTTTTTCTCCAAAGGAGTCAATGAACCTGCAATCCTATTCTGTAGGCGTGACAGGGAGAACCTATGCCTGGTTGCGGAAGGCTTCCAGGGTCAGTTGGTGGGGCTGTGCTTCAGATCCAAATGATGATGCCAAAGGGACAATTCCTTGGGCCAAATTTATCTGAGCAAAGAGCAAAATAATCCACGAGTCTCATTGCTCCCAGAGCAAGAGATCAGAGAACTTTCCAAGAACTCAAGCTAACAACATATCAGCAAATACCTACAAGAAAATGAAGGCCAGGTGTGGAGGCACATGCCTGCAGTCCCAGCACATGGAAAGCTGAGGGAGGAGGGACCTCAAGAGTTCAAGGCCAGCCTGGCCTACACAATGACTTCAAATCCAGCCTGAACTGCATAGCAAGATCCTGTCTCAAGCAAACAAAGAAACCAAATCATAGAAAACTTCATTGGCTTCATCAACCAATCAGTTAATTGGCTACACGTTCCTCTAAAACCAACCAGTGCTCAGCTGCTGTCATAAAACTCTATTGGTTTGCTCTGTTCAGCTGAGTATTAGTGCCCAGTCCAAATCCATGGCTTCCCAAGAATTTTACTTAACATACTCATATATTTTAAAGACATAAACCTCATGAACCAACCTCTGCCAGCATCACTTTTTTTCTGTGGCCTCCTTCCTCTCTCAGCCTCCAGAGAATTGGAGAGAGTTCCAGACTTGTTCTGGGTCAGGCTGTGGCTTAAGGAAATGGTGTGGCGAATTTGGTCTTCTGTCCCAATCACTAAAATTTCTACATGTCAGCAGTGGGGCTGCTGCGCTTTCTTTCACTAGTGGGTTCACTGGAGTAGCACTTTTAATTTCCTTGAAAAGCTGTTCCTTGATGTGGGCATGGTGGCACATGCCTGCAATCCCAGCACTCAGGAGGCTGAGGCAGGAGGATTGATGCAAGTTTGAGGCCAGCCTGGGCTACATAGCAAGACGCAGTCTCAAAGAACCAAAGACCAAAAACCAAAACAAAAAAACTTTCCCTTTGCATTCTTAGCTTGGGGGTTTGTATAGTTTTCAGCCTATGTCAGCTTTGAACAAAACTTCCTCATTCTCTTACTTTCTCACTGCTGAGACAAAATACCTGACACCCACAAGCTAAAGGAGGAAAGGTTTAATTCAGCTCACAGTTTGTAGGTTTCAGTCCACAGTCAACTGGCTCCAAGGCAAAGGAGCACACGGCAGAGGGGCATGACCAGCAGGAAGCAGCAGCTGTCCTCCTTTTCCTTTTTATTCCATCCAGCCTACAAGCCTATTGGTTGGTGCCACCCACACCCAGGGCGGGCCTTCCCATCATCCTCACCCAGAACCATGCTAAAGCAATCAGTGGGCTAATTTAGTTATCACACACCTTTAATCCGTATTCACCCACCCTAGATCCAGCCACCTCCAAAAAGCTTCACCGATGACCCACGAGGCTTTGGGGGACGTCTAGACACAAGCTGTAACATTCACTAAGCTTGACCATTTCTAGCTTTTGATTTGAAAGAGGGCCGTACAATTATTCCTTTTACTTGAGCACTCAGAGGCCCTTGTAGGGTTATTAACTGGCCCAATCTCAATACGGCTGTGTGTCAGGGAATAAGGAGGCTCAAGGGGGTGGGAGGAGGACTGAGGTGGGCGGTCAGAAATTGGTCACACATTTACCACTAAGTGCACCGTCTGAGATGGGCACAAACGACTACAATAGCAGCATTAAAGATCCTGATCACACGTCACCTAACATATATAATAATAATGAAAAGTTTGAAATAGATGCGAATTATCAGGCACAGAGTGAGTATAAGCTGTTGAAAACAATGGTGCCCGTAGATTCGCTTGGCAGAGATACCCACAACCCTTCAATCTGAGAAAAATGCAGTGTGTGTAAGGCGTAGTGAAAGTAGCTGTCCAGAGTCCCAACAACTGAACCAACTGAACCTAAGTCAGGGAGAGAAATAGTTCAGGTATATTACGGCTTCCAAGTAGCTTTCTACAAAGTTATATCAGTTTACTTTGCAATAAGCAATAGATTTGTCAGGTGAGGTAGATAAAATGTAAAGTTTCTTGAGATCAAAATGGGTTTCAGGCTGCAATGTCCTCTTCACAAAAGTCTTAGCTCAGTTCTGCCTTGCTCCAGACCTTCAGCTTTTTGGGCTTTGAGATGGTGAGACCAGGGCATCCCCTTGTCCCTAAGAGACCCAATGCTTGCTTCATGGCCTACACGTTTGAGAGTCTGCTGGTGAGGGGGAGTAGTGGCCTGGCTGCCGAGGGAGCCCCCACGGTGGCGGTCCCTGTCCCCTCAGTGTGCTGCATGGGGGCCACAGACTCAGTCCTCTCTTCTGGGTTTGTCCACATGTCGTAATTGTGCAAATAAACGCTCACACCAAATTAGCGGTTAAAAAAAAAAGTCTTAGCTCAAGGAGAAATCAGTCTTACCTGAGAAAGTGACCTACTATCCTGTTTCAATTTCTCTGCTTCAGGAAAACATTCCTCTAGTGAATAAAGTTCCTCAAGTTCTTCAGGTCTCCTTTCTAGATCCTATTTGACAGGGACAGATAGGTCAATCTCTTTATTTTCAGCTTTATGTTCCACAAGCAGCATCGAAAACTTATTTGGTTAAATATACAACTTCAAAATGAATACTTAGTCTGAATACTCTGGATATTTCCGAGCCATTTCATCTGAAACAGTAATTTCTAAAGTGTGATCTACCAGGCATGGTGGTGCATGCCTGGAATCTCAGTTACTCGGGAGGCGGAGGCAGGAGGATTGCCACAAATTCGAGGCCAGCCTGGGCTACATAGTGAGTTCAAGGCCAGCCTGAACTGCCTACCAAGACCTTGTCTCAAAAAACAAAACAAAACTGTGATCTACAGACTCTTTGTGGGTCCTCAAAACTCCTTTGAGATCTGTGAAGGTAAATCTATTTTCATAGCAATGTAAGGACATCATTTGCCCTTTTCACAGTACACATTTCACACTAATTACAGAAGATGATGGAAGACTTTTGTGCCTCAGCACAGTTCAGGCAGTAACTCTAAAGTGCACATAGTGAGAGCCAAGAGCCAGCTTCGCATAAAAGTGACCTGAGGAAGAGGTGAAAATTATTCATTTTATTAATACTCAGTCCTAAGTACTGTATGTGTCCCTTTACTATTCAATGTGATAGAATAGGAAGCATACACAAAGCACTTCTGCATATCAAGGGACAACACTGTCTTGAGAAATTGTACACTTGTGCAGTTATTTAAGTATTTTGGCAGACATCCTCTCAAAATGGAATGAATTGGGCATGCCACCTCAAGAATACAACTCAAGGGCCGGAGATTTAGCTCAGTGGTTTTGCCACCTGCTGCACAAGTGCAAGGACCAGAGTTTGATCCCCAGTACCAAGAAAAATAAAAAGAACACAACTCAAAATATTTGTTTCAAATGGTAAAATGCAGCTGAGTGTGCTGGTGCAAGGTTGTAATCCCAGCACTCAGGAGGCTGAGGCAGGAGGATCGCCATGAGTTCCAGGCCGGCCTGGGCTACATAGTGAATTCAGGGCCAGCCTGAACTACAAAGGGAGACCCTGCCTCAAAAAATAAACAAACAAAATAATGGTAAAATGCAACTTTCAAGTAAAAACTCAGACTTTAAAAATACTTGTATCTATCAGTATGAGTTTGATGGTTTCTCAATCCTTAAAGACTTCTAATTTGATTGGAGAAGTTAATGTCTGTGATTTTTTTTCTATAATGAACAATAAAATACATCAACATTTAGAAGTAAATAATTCAGCAAACAAAATTTTTCTAAGCAAGCAATGTATGCAATTGCACAATCATGCATGAAAATAAAATCTAGTCAAAGTGTAATACAGAGCGATGTTTTAATATAAGAATTTAAACAGGTCATTGATGTAATTTCTGAGTCCACATTAAGGAACCACCATTTGTGAATCTGAGCATCGTGGCATGTGCCCGAAGTCCCAGCTACTTGGAAGCTGAGGAAGGATGGCTTGCATCCAGGAGTAGGAGGCCAGCCAGAGCAACATAGGGAGATCTCATCTCGAAGGAAAACAAAGAAGAAAAGGAAACTACCACTTAAATTTGGTGTAGTATCAAAGAACATCCACAGTTATCTGAAAGGTTATCGCAACATCCCTCCTTTTTCCAAATGCAAAGCTGATTGCAGCAAGATTTTTCTTCATATGCTTCTATCAAAACAACACATTACAACAGCTGGAATATTAAAGTTAATAGGAAAATCCAGTTGTCTTGTTAGGTCAGGTAGTGAAGAAATTTTAAAAATATGAATAATGCTATTCATTTCTCTAAATAAAGAATACATAATTTTCTTTCAAAATGTTAATGTATTGACAGGATTAGTAAAGCTTTTTTTTTTTTAAATCAATGTTTAATGCATACTAACGTGTTTAAAAATGTATCCGCTTTACTTTCTAACATGCTGAATATTGATAGATGTAATCCATATAAACAAAATCTCCTTGGGAAGATTTAAATTTGGAACATTTTAATGGAGTTTTGTCCTGAGACCAAAATATGTCAGAACTACTGATTTAGCAAAAAAGAGAAGTGAAACTAAAAAAAGAGTAGAGTTTGAATATTTTGAAAAAAATGTTGGTCCCTGTTAAATTTGCATATAAAATAGATTCATGTGTGTTTCACTGTGGTGAGCAGAAGCTGATGAGGGAGATTGCTTAGGGCTCAGTCCTGGTTCTGCCACTTTTCAGCCGCTAACTTTCACTCTGCCTCAGTTTGCTTATCTGTGAGATGGGGTAATAGTGTTACCCATTTTATTCAGTCAAACCAGTCCACATAGGACTAAACTCCACTGGTAGCTATGAGGTGAGAACAATGGACGGCAACACATGTGATAGCCACATTTTCTTAAGTTTTCCTTGAGAACATTACTAAGGTTTATGTACTTTTTTTTCAAGTTGTTGCCATTTTTCTTTCTCAATCCGCTGTTTTTCAAGCCTTTCCAGTTCTTCTTTCTCAAATTTCAAACGGGCTTCCTCTAAAGAACCAAAAAGAGGGGAAGGGGAAGTAAAAATCAGTAAGAGGCTACATTTATAAAAGTAAAAAGATGGCTAGATCACTAGATTTTTAGGCCCTTGAGATTAAGTATTTTCAAGATGTGGTGGAATATCTTATTGAAGTCATAATTTTGTCTTGTGATAGAAATAGAAAAAGTGCTAGCTTTCGTCTCTTCAAAAGAATAACATGACTCAAGCTTTCTGGCCAAGAAATGGGTCCACATTGATATATCTCTTCTCCAAGAGTTTATAACAATCCAATAATGATTTTAGTCCATAAAATATGACAGTCCTATCATGGGGAATTATGGAGAGATAGTCTTCAGAAGATGTCCCTTACTGTGTGACATTAACATCCTCAGAAGAAATCATCCTAACTTTCTCTTGCTCTATTAAAAACAAAGTATGAGATACATGCTGAGGAATATAAGTTTACCCCAATGTAATAAATCACTTCTCAAGCTATAGGTCCTGAGACTGTATTCTTACCATGAGTCACCTAAAAAAAAGGATTTGGAATCCCAGTACCCTCCCCGCCAAATAAATAAATAATAAAAAGGATTTGTAAGATTATACGCTAAAAAATAGGCATGGAACCTGAATTTTAAAAACCTGAATATGAATCTATGGATGTTCTAAATGCTAAAAGCTACAGTGTTAGGGATATTCAGAATTTTAAAATCTCTTTTTGGTGTTTTAATTAACTACCGCTTTCATCAATGTTTAATTGTTTCATTTAAAAAAATAAATGAAATTGACTCTTCTTTTTGAGATAGGGTCTTGCTATGTAGTCTAGGCTTGCCTTGAAATCATTAGGTAGCCCAGGTGATTGAGGTGATCCTCCTGATTCAGCCTCCCAAGTGCAGGGATTACAGGCACGCACCACCACGCCAGTAAAATTAGCATTTTAATTAGGCGAAAGCCAGATATGTTGACACACGCCTGTGATCCTGGCCCTTGGGAGGCTGAGGCACAAGGACTGTCATGAGTTCAAGGCCAGCCTGGGCTACATAGTGAGTTCAAGGGCAGTCTGAATTCCAGTTTCAGAATTCTTACTGCACAATCAGCAGCAATGTTCCTAATTTCATCAGTAAATACCAATATGTCAAGATAGGGTTGCCAGAACTAGCAAATTAAAATCAAGATGATCAGCTCAAATTGAATTTCAGATAACAACATACTTTTCAAAAAGAGTAAGTATGTCCCAAATATTGCATTGGGAAAATTATCCCAAATTAGCCAATGTTGATTTGAAATTCAAATTTGACTGGGCTCCTGTATTTTATTTGGCAACACTACTTCAAGACGTACTAAATGTGGTTGGTGTGTACTAATGGATCTCTCTCAGTGCCTACTAACTGATGGGCGTTCATTAGAAAGTAGATTTAAATTAGAAAATTTGATGAATTTTGAAAAAATATGACTGGATTACAGAAATACCGACCTATTGTTAGTATTACTTGAATATGAAAATAGAACCACTGTCTGTTTCGTACCTTCCTCTCTCAGTCGTTTCTCCTCTTCCTCTTGTAGCTGCTTCAGTTGTTCTGCTTTAGTGATTGTCTTTTTCTTATTGCCAGACTTAACAAAGACCACAAGATTAAAAAAGGCTATTAGCATGCACCCAAGTTACTTAAAAACACGTTTCCTTAAGTAGTAATTATGAAAAAGTTTTGCTTTCATGAAACATATCTTTCATGCATTCATTCAACAGGTAAGACTGCCTGTTAGTGCACTGACTCAGTGCATTGAAGGACTGAGACTGGAAACAAACAAAACTAAGCACATAAACTCTGCAAGTGCAGGGATGGCACTTGTTATCAGTTTAGATCTAGAATGTCCCCTACAAGTCTGCGTTCCTAGCTGAGGGTGCTGTTCCAAGGCAGTCACTCGGGAGCGACCTGGAAGGCTGTGTTCTTGGCCACAGCTCCTCCTTTTCTCCCCTGCTTCCTGGCTGCTATGCATTGAGCAGCTTTCTTCCATCAGGCCCTTCCACCATGCCGGTTCTTTTCTGAAGGCAACTGACTATGGACTGAAACCCCGAGCCAAAATAAATCTCTCCTTCTAAGTTGTGGGTGTCAGGTATTTTGTCTCAGCAAGGAGAAAGTGACTTAAGACATGACAAATATATGCAATTTAAATAATTCTTTCAGGCCCAGTTTCCACATCTTTAAAAAGAAAATCTCATCTTATTATAAAGAATAAAGTCAAATATATGTAAAAACAGTGCTAAAACTGTACATCTGTTTTTAGAAAGTAATATTTTTAGGATTAGCAGGTATACAGAGTTATTTTGCAAGTATGGAGGGAGGATTGTTTTTTGTTTTGTTTGTTTCTTTTTGAGACATGGTCTTCCTATGTAGCCCAGGCTGGGCTCAAACTCGAAGTGATCCTTCTGCCTCAGCCTCCTGAGTAGAAGGATTGTTTTTAATAACACAGTTCAAGTAAAATGTTTGTAGAGAAAGGTATAAATTCATGCGCAAAGGATTTTAGCACTCAAGGGAAGATATCCCAAGAAAAGAGAAACACAGCTGCAAGATGGAGTTTCAAAAACACTGGATTAAGCCAACAAATACAATGTGCTCTGTAAGACTCCAGGAAGAGAAGACAAAAGAAATGAGAATAGGAAAGAACGATTGAACCTACGCTGAAAAGTCTGGACATTGTTCTGAGAGAAATAAAAAACTCCTAATTTTTTTGAGAAGGGCTGTAGCTACTAAAATATGATTTTTGAAAACTAACCTTGAATGGGGGAAATATAATTATAAAGAGGATACCATTTTGGCACCTATTAACAAGTGTTAATGTGAGACTGAACAAAAGTTACTCCATTTTGTAATAAGGCCCCATCTTGTCTGCTTCTGTTACACTTCACCATGGGGACGTCAAGTTCCCAGAACGTACTTGTTGCTGTTCCAAGGAAACCACAAGTTAGCCTTATGCCTGTTATGTAAAGATTGGTTGCTACACTACCCCAACCACCAATGTCTCACTTCTGTACTTTTGCTTGCCAAGTTCCCTCTTGCGACCCCTAAAAAAGACCTCAGTCCCTGAGCCGGGCACCTCTCTAAACTTGGTGCTTGGAGGGTGCTGTCTGGCCAGACTAATAAAGGTCTGTTTCATGTTCACAGCTTGTCCGGTGTGTTCCCTCCCAGGTGATCTTCACTGTAGTCAGCTCCTCAGAGTTTTTGGTGAGGCCCACGGTCTTACATTTTGGAGGCCCCAGTGAGATCCCCGGGTAGGAACCCCCGGTTCGGCCAAGACTCCGTGGTGGGATCCAGCAGGAGACTCTTGGGTACAGACTTCAGAAAACCTCCGGAGGTAAGCTTTTGGCCGGTTGCAACCATTTGTTAAGTCAGGAGTGAGGTGGCTGACGAGCCAGGAAGCCTCCCCTGACCCCGAGGTTCCTGACAAGGAACAAGGGAAGATTTAGTTTCATTTTGTAATGGCACCCGTTCATCTTGTCTTTTATATGTTAGTGTTGTGTCTGTTGTGTGTCTGATTTTACATTTTTTTTTTCTTTCCAATCCTCATCAGGAGCAGAGTAATGGGGGAACCTGTTCTACCAGGTCCACTCTGCTTGACTGCTTTCTCACTAATTTTAAATTGGCTTTTTCTCCAGAACAAGACGATGAATATGGGGTAAAATTTTCTTGCAAAAGACTCCAGTCCCTGTGCCAACTGGAATGGCCAGCCTTCGGGGTGGGATGGCCAGCCAAAGGGACTTTTGACCTCAGTATTTGCCAGGCGGTTTGGGGCAAGATCACCAGTCGCCCTGGCCACCCAGACCAATTTCCCTACATAGACATCTGGGTTCAGGCTTGTGAGGAACCTCTGGCTTGGCTACAGTGCTGTTCCCTTCAAACAGACGCTCGCATTTTAGTCGCTGCCCCAAAAGGACCCTGGGAACTTAAGACCAGGGCTCCCAAGCTGGTACTCTCACAGGAACCTGACCCCCTAGACCCCCTGGGAGGGCCTCCGCCCTATGGGGAATCCTCCACCTCCTCAGATGGATCCTGCTCTAGACCCCGAAATCCTTTCCTTCCTCCATCTGTTCAACCTTCGGCTCCTACCTCTCTCTATCCTCCTCTCCCTGAGGGGCCCCAGTCCCCAGACTCTGTGACTTCTCCCCCACACATGCGAGCTGGGGCTGTGTATGGACCTAGCAAGGTCCTCGCTGAGGGAACTAGCTCGGCTCCTCTCTTGCCCCTTCGGGAGACAGAGCAAGGTCACTATGTTTATATCCCTTTTACTACCAGTGACTTATATAATTGGAAACATCAGAATCCTCCTTTTTCAGACAAACCCCAAGCTCTAATCTCTCTCCTGGAGTTTATCTTTCATACCCATGATCCTACTTGGGATGATTGCCAACAACTCCTCCAGGCCCTTTTTACCTCAGAGGAGAGGGAAAGAATCCGGGGACAAGCTGTAAGGTCAGTACTAGGTGGAGCAGAGGGCCCCCTAGATGCAACAGCGGGCCTGTATTAAAGCACAACTCCTGTCCACCTGACCCTGCTGGCAAGCTAATGCCTCGGGTGGGAGAGAAGCTCTCCAGAACTATTGTCAGCATCTCCTGGCTGGCCTGAGGGGAGCCACTCGGAAGCCTACCAATTTGAGCAAGGTAAGCGAGGTCCTTTAAGGATCAGAGGAATCCCCTTCTGTCTTTTTGGAGCATCTGTTGGAAACATACCATATGTATACTCCAATCCATCCAGACGCCCCTGCAAATCAGCAGGCAATAAACTTGGCATTTGTTATCCAGTTGGCCCCAGACATTAGAAAAAAGCTACAAAGGCTAAAAGGATTTGAGGGAGAAAATAGAGAAAAATTGATGAATGTAGTCATGAAGGCATTTAATAACAGGGATCCCCCAGAAGAGAGAATGGCCAAGAGACTAAAAAAGCAACCATAGCCACCTTGGCTGATGAAGGATTTGTCCAGAAAAAAAGACCTGAAAACAAAGGAGGGAACAAGGGGAAAATCCGACCCTTATTAGAGAAAGATCAGTGTGCCTACTGCAAGAAAAAGGGCCATTTTTAAAAAGATTGTGAAAAGCTAAAACAAAAAAGAGAGAAGGAGCCCCCCCCCAAAAAAAAGGTGGAATCCTCTTAGTAGATGAAGAAGATTGATGGGGCCGAGGCTCATGGCTGCTTAACCCTAGTGAGCCTATGGTGACTTTGGAGATGGGGGAACAGATGTTCAGTTCCTTGTGGACACTGGTGTGACCCACTCTGTCCTGAAGACCCCCCCCCTTGGACCCCTCACTTCCTTAAAAACCTCCATTACTGGAGCCACAGGAAAGTCGGCCTCCTACCCTTGGACCACTAGACGGACTGTAAATCTAGGAAAAGGCACTGTCACCCATTCCTTCTTAATTATCCCTGAGTGCCCGTACCTGTTGCTGGGAAGAGACTTGCTGCAAAAGTTGGGGGCTATTATTTTGAGCCTGAAGAAGGGACTTTTGAACTCAAGCCACCCTCTGACATTATGGTAATGGTACCCCTAGAAGATGAATTTAGATTCCTAAAGGAGGGTGCAGAGCCCCCCAAACAAAAATGGGACTACCTTCAAAAAAGTTTCCCAGGGTGTGGGCTGAAACCAATCCACCTGGGCTGGCCAACCACCATGCCCTGGTGGTGGTCCAATTGTTGGCCTCTGCTACCCCCATCTGTGTGCGACAATACTCCCTCCGGCTGGAAGCCAAGGTGGGGATCTCTAAGCACATCCACCGACTCCAGAAAGCCGGCATCTTGGTCCCTTGCCAGTCAGCCTGGAATACACCCCTGCTTCCTGTGAGGAAGCCTGGCACCTCAGACTTCAGACCGGTACAGGATTTGTGGGAGGTAAACAGCCGTGTGGAGACCGTCCACCGAACAGTACCAAACCCTTATACTCTGTTGAGTCTCATCCCTCCTGCTCATGTGTGGTACTCAGTATTAGACCTCAAAGATGCATTTTTCAGCCTACCCCTAGCACCAGTAAGCCAGCCCCTCTTTGCCTTCGAATGGACGGACCCAGGCACCAGGACTACTGGACAGCTGACATGGACCTGGCTGCCACAGGGATTCAAGAACTCCCCCACTCTGTTTGGGGAAGCTCTCAACAAAGATCTACGAGAGGTAAGGAGAGCTTTTCCCCAAGCAACTATTCTTCAGTATGTAGACGACCTCCTAGTGGCAACTTTGACTGATGAAGAGTGTCTTGTGGCCACCGAGGGCCTCCTGGAAGTCCTCCAAGACCTGGGATATTGGGTGTCTTGGAAGAAAGCTCAGCTCTGCCAGACCAAGGTAACCTACTTGGGCTACATTCTTGAGAAAGGAAAGAGGAGGCTGGCAGAATCACAGGTATCAGCAATTCTCCAGATTCCGGAACCAAGCTCAAAGAAACAGGTGTGCGAATTCCTAGGGGTGGTTGGGTATTGCAGAATTTGGATCCCTGGCTTTGGTGAAATTGCCAAACCCCTGCATGAAGCCACCGAGGGGGGAGATACGCCTCGAATGGACTGAGGCTTGCCAGCAGGCATTTCAATTGCTTAAAACTGAGCTTGCATCAGCACCAGCCCTGGCACTGCCAGACTTAAATAAGCCCCTCACTCTGTATGTAGCGGAAAAAAATGGGATAGCCAAGGGAGTGATTACTCAGCCTTTGGGACCATGGAAGCAGCCAGTGGCATACCTCTCGAAGAAGCTAGACCCAGTGGCCCAAGGGTGGTCTACCTGTCTGAGGACAGTAGCAGCAGCAGCTGCTCTAACCCGAGAGGCTGACAAACTGACATTCGGACAGGATTTGACTTTGATCACTCCTCATGCCATTGAGCCCTTGTTAAATAGCTCACCTTGCAAGTGGCTGTCTAATGCCAGACTGCTGCAATACCAAGGACTCCTATTGGAACAGCCGCGTATTAGGTTTTCCACCACTGCCCATCTCAACCCCACTACTCTGCTCCCAGAGTCCAAAGAGGAGGTGCCCATACACAACTGCCTTGAGATTCTCGAGAACTTGCGGGGAGGGCATCCAGATCTAACGGACCAAGCCCTCCCCCAGGCTGAGGCCACGTTCTATACTGATGGGTGCAGCTTTGTGCAAGATGGGGTTCGATACGCTGGAGCGGCAGTGGTCAACCAAAGTTGCCAAGTAAAATGGGCAACAGGACTACCCCCAGGGACCTCTGCCCAAAAGGCTGAATTGATTGCTTTAACAAAGGCTTTGAAATTGGGTAAAGAGAAAATGATCAATATTTATACTAATAGCCGATATGCTTTTGCCATGGCCCATGTACATGGGGAAATTTACCAAAATCGAGGCCTCTTAATCTCTGAGGGAAAGACTATTAAAAATAAGACTGAGATTTTGGCATTATTGCAAGCCATTTGGCTGCCCTGGAAAGTGGCCATCATACACTGTAGGGGCCATCAAAAAGGGTCCAGCTCCGAGATAACTGGAAACAATGCCACCAACCAAGCAACAAAATAGGCTGCTCAAAAATCAGTGGGGAAGCAGTTGGTCCTGCACCCCACCCCGTTATTGCCAGATAAACCAGAGTATACCAAGAAAAAAGTAAAATACATAAAAAGAAAACGATGGAAAAAGGGGCATCATGGGTGGTGGACCACCGAAGGGGGAAAAATAGTTTTGCTGGGAGCCCTGGCAGACACCTTGCTCCGAGAACTACATGAGTCCACTCACCTTGGAAAAAGATGGATGCTGGAGGCCCTGCGGCCCCACTTCATCAGCCAAGGACTGACCCGAAAAGCCGAAGACCTGGTAAGACGATGTCCCACCTGTCTTCAGGTAAATGCCAGCCGAATCATGGGACCCCCAGGAATTCAATATCAGGGAATAATGCCAGGAGAACACTGGTAAATAGACTTCACTGAAATGAAACCTGGCCTGTATGGACTTAAGTATCTGTTAGTCTTTGTGGATACCTTTTCAGGTTGGATAGAGGCCTTCCCTACCAAAAAGGAAATGGCTGAAGTAACTGTAAAGAAACTTTTGACAGAAATAATTCCCCAATTTGGATTGCCACTAGCCCTGGGGTCCGACAATGGCCTGGTCTTCACGGCCAAGATATCCAAATTGATTAGCAGTACCTCAGGAGTAAAATGGAATTTACATTGTGCATATAGACCTCAGAGCTGAGGACAAGTAAAAAGGGCAAGTAGAACCTTGAAGGAGACATTAACCAAATTAAACATGGAGACTGAATAGGGATGGGTTGAGCTTCTCCCCTTTGCCCTCTACTGTACCCGGTATACTCCAAGTTTGCCTTCGAATGTATTCCCCTTCCAGATAATCTACAGGCGAGCACCCCCTCTCGTCCCTAGAATTGATTTAAAATTGACAGAAAAACTCTCTCACCTCCAACTCCTTAAATCACTAAAAGCCGTTCACCAGCTTCAGTCAGATTTGCAAGAAGAAATAAAAAAATCTAGGGCTCACCCTTCAGAAAAACCCTTATCACTCCTACCTTATAAGCTGGGAGATTTGATTTTCATTCACAGGTTTGATTCCAAAAATTTAGAATCCCATTGAAAAGGGCCATTTCCTATTATCCTGACTACTCCTACAGCAGTGAAGGTAACTGGACACTCTGCCTGGATCCACTGCAGCCATTTGAAGGCAGCACCTCCTGAGGAAGTGATGTCAACATGGCGAATCGACCGGAACAAGAAGACCCCTTCAAGATAAGATTGACCAAAAACTAGCTTGGACAATATGGGGACTCATGGGGTTTCTGTTCTTACCAGCCCCAATGGAAGGAGGATCTGTGCTGTCCAGCCACACTCCCCAGAATTGGACCTGGTCCCTTAAAAACTCACTCACTGGAGCCCTAATCGCCACTAATATGACAGATCAGAGCCCCACCTTCCTTGTAGACTTATGTGATTTAGGGCTAGTCACTCGGTCCGTGGGAATATTAGAAGTAGCAGGGCCATGTTCAGCACCCCCGTCAACCCCCGGGGGTTCAAGGAGATGATCCACCGACCAAAGAAAAAGGGGCCTCCAGACCATAGACATCTATACATGTCCTGTAGGAAAAGATAAAAGGTGTGATGGGGGACCAGGAAACCACTGTTATTATTGGGGTTGCGAATCTATTGCCCCATGGAAAAATGGTGGTGGGGATGATACGTATTTGGCCTTAGAACGACAAACACCAAGCAGTTCATATACCGTGGGAAAATGTAATCCCATCAAGTTAACCTTAAAACAATGGCAAAATCTGTATAAGGATTGGGAAAAAAAGAAAATCTTAAACAGTGACACTCAATGCGGCTGGAAAAGACCCTGTGACAGACCTCATCATCCAGCATAGCCCAGTACTAGTACCGCCCAAACCGATGGGCAGCATCTATAGAGTCCCCAGCCCTCAAGGGAAAGAGGCCAATACAACTTATAATATGACTGACTGCTCCTGAATCTCCGATCCAGCCATACCTAAAAACCCTTACTGGCATGTATACCTTGTTAAACAGATCTGACTACCCAAGGATGTTACCCAAGGATGCTGGATGTGTTTGAGTCCACATCCCCCGTATTATGTAGGGGTGGCAGTAAATGACACCTACTCAGAAGCTAACCAAGATGAATGTGATTGGAAACAACAGAGGTTGTCAATAGGGGATATAACAGAAAAAGGGTTATGTGTTAAAAATCCAAGTGTTAAGTCTTCTTATCTAGAACAGTGTATGCTCTTATCAGGCACTCACTGCCAGTAATGAAAAATATCTAAAAACTGGAAACAATACATGGTGGGCGTGCACAAATGGTATAACTCCTTGTTTGTCCATGACGGTCCTTAATCAGAAAATTGAGGTATGCGTAATGGTCCACATTTTGCCCCAAGTAACTATATATAAAAGAGACCAGGGTTGAAAATATCTAGCTAAAAGGACACATACCTGAGAGAAGCACCACCCAGCTTTGATTCCTGTATTAACTGCAACAGACATTGTGGGATCAGCAGCTCTGGGTACGACGGCAATAGGACTGCAAGACTCCAACTTCAAGACCCTTGCCCAACAGGTAAAAATAGACTTAGGCTGGCTTACCGAGTCAGTGTCTCATTTGAAAAAACAAGTTGACTCTCTGGCTGAGATGGTCCTTCAACACCATCGAGGTCTCGACCTCCTATTCATGAAAGAGGGAGGGCTATGTGCAGCCCTAGGAGAACAATGTCACTATTATGCTAATAAACCTGAAATAATAAAAAAAATACCCTGGCCACTATAAATAAACACCTTCAAAAAAAATATGATAGATTAAAAAAACAGGAAGGGTGGTTCCAGTCGATGTTTAACTGGTCTCCCTGGTTGACTACCCTTGTCTCTGCCCTTGCTGGACCTCTGTTAATCTTGCTACTAGCTTTGACTTTCAGCCCATACATTATTAATAAACTTATGGCCTATATAAGGGCCTGGGTGGGAGCTGTTTGCCTAATGGTTTTAAACCAACAGGCTAGATACAACCCAGTGCCACTAAAAAAAAAAAGCCGCACATAGGATTACTTGCTGTGCTAAAATCAGTGGGGAATGTGAGACTGAACAAAAGTTACTCCATTTTGTAATAAGGCCCCATCTTGTCTGCTTCTGTTACACTTCACCATGGGGATGTCGAGTTCCCAGAATGTACTTGTTGCTGTTCCAAAGAAACTACAAGTTAGTCTTATGCCTGTTATGTAAAGATTGGTTGCTACACTATCCCCACTGCCAATGTCTCACTTCTGTACTTTTGCTTGCCAAGTTCCCTCTTGCGACCCCTATAAAAAGACCTCAGTCCCTGAGCCGGGCGCCTCTCTAAACTTGGTGCTTGGAGGGTGCTGTCTGGCCAGACTAATAAAGGTCTGTTTTATGTTCACAACTTGTCCGGTGTGTTCCCTCCCGGGTGATCTTCGCTGTAGTCAGCTCCTCGGAGTGTTTGGTGAGGCCCACGGTCTTACATTAATAAACTGAAATCTTGGCAGTGGATGCAGAGATTTACAAGCTAACTTATTAGTAATAATTAAAATTGAAGAAGGGAAGGAATCAGAGGACAGTCTGAAAAGAAACAATGGAACCCTAGAGCAAGCACATTTGAAAGAGGAATCGAATCAATAAGAAATTTACATATAACTTGTAGAAAATGCTAGTAGATAATTTCTCTTGCTCAATTAAAACTCCTTGTCAAGTGATTTTAAGGTGCCCATGATTTCAATGCCAATGGTCATTGTCAAGTCTCATTTTATTCATATAAAAGCATCTTTTGGCAAAGTTGATTTTTGGCAAAGTTTCATATACTTTGTGGGGGGGGTTATTAGGAATCAAACTCAGGTTCTCGTGCTTGTGATATACATTCTTTATTGAGTCTTTATGTCACCACTGTCTGGTTTTGCTTCCCCACAGCTCCTACCTTCTCAGATTCCTTTGATGGCTTCTCCTGGTCAGCTGTAGCTAGTCCATAACTTTTAAAAGTATAGTATTTGTTCACATACTCCCTAGAATTTTTTAAAACTATGTACTTCTTTACACATTTTAACTTGGCATTGAAAACTTTTCATCACAAGCTTAAAGAGCTGAAAATACACTTTTAAGTACAGGATCTATAAATGAAAACTTTTCTAGTACTATTAATTAAAGCCATCACTACTTAAACCCTATGGAAACTACATACCATAACAACTTAATGAACAATATCACCAATTTTAAAAATATGACAAGCTCTTCAATAAAAAGTATAATTCTTTTTCTCTTTGAAATTGTATTTCCTTCCACTCTACTTTCCTCACAAAATATAACCCTAATGTAATATACTTGAAAAACTTTTGTTGAGTTTCCTTTCATGTTTATGTGCTACAATAATATGTATGAGCACTTAAAACATCTATTTCCCTTTTCTCTAAGTATTCAGATTTTCCCCTCGATTGGCTTAATTTTATATAATTTTCAATACACAACTGAACAAAGCAATATAAAATATTATAAATTCTTGTAATTGAATATTAAACATAGGAGTAAATTTTTTCTGGATAAACATGTCTTGATGAAATTAGATAGTCTTTTTCTTTTCTACAGTTAGCTCATTATCCCTGTATAAGTTTTAGCTGTTATTAATGAAACAGATTCAGACTGTTGTAATTTTTCATTTTTAAAAGTATGAGGAATGAGAAATCTGTTTTATATTCAAAAGTCAATGGGAATAGGTTTGTTATAGCAACATTATTCAGTTTTTTGAACTCCTTCCATATCATATGCCAAAACTCATGTATTGAGTTATAAATTTCCCAAGACTAGGAGAACCACTGAGTGCTTGGGATGAAGCCCCAGAGCCGGAAGGGCAGCCTCCTCCCCTTGTAAAGCCACCCAATCAAGCTGGCTGTGGTGGTGCCACACACCTATAATTCTAGAACACCAGGAGGCTGAGGCAGGACTTCAAATTTGAGCCCAGACCAGGCAACTTAGTGACTTAGCAAGACCTTATCTCAAAATAAAAGTAAAAAGGGCTGGGGAAGCAGCTCAGTGTAAAGATTTGGGTTCAATCCTCAATACTGCCAAAATAAAAAAAATGTAATCAGATCATGCCACCCTTCTGTTTACAACTTTCCCAGGATGCCCATCCCACCCCGAATGAAATATAAATACTTCACCACAGCCTGGTTGGCTATGAACTACTATCTGATTGGTAGCACATGCCTATAATCTCAGGACCTGGGAGGCTGAGCCAGGAGGACTGCTGTCTGAGGCCATCCTGTGCTATATAGTAAGTTCAAGGCCAGCCTGAATTACAAGAGAGACCCTGTCTCAAAAAACCCAATATATACATACATACATACATATACATACATAAATGAATGTCCACATAAACCAGTCAATAACACATAGGACCCTCCAGAATGCTCCTCCCTTAAGAATGTTTCCAGAGCCTTCATAAATTCTTCTCAGTTCTAGTCACAACCTCTAAGAGTATTGGGGTGGTAGTGGGTACAAGTGACTGAGAAAGCAAACATGGAAGGTACACAACAGTGTTCCTTGAACAAGTATTTAATTGTATAAACACTGAAATACACATTTATGTAAGCATTTCTTCTAAGTAGTCAGGAACCACCTCTTTTTAAGTACTGGTAGATTAAATGGATGTTCACATGTTCATTCAACAAACATTGCCTGAATTTCTACTATGTGCCAGGCACTGTGGGAAATGTAACGGACATAAAAATAAATGGCATGCTACTGAGCTGGAAGAGCTCGAAGATATCAACACAGTCCAATAATAGAAAGGGTAATAATTGAGGTACATATGCACTAATGCATGAGGACTGAGTATGCAGCTGTCCCCTGGTATGGACTTTATTGGTTCTAGGACCCCTAGGGATATCAAAATCCACAGATGCTCAAGCCCTTTCTGTAAAATGGCATAGTATTTCCATAAACCCCACACAAATCCTCTCATTTACTTGAAGTCATCACTAGATTACTTATAATATTTAGTAAAATGTAAATGCTATGCAAATAATTGTTAAACTGTGTTGTTCAGGGAATAATGGCAAGAAATAAAGCTTGTACATGTTTACTCAGTGAAGACATAGTTTTTCCCCAAACATTTATCATTTCTTCATGGTGAAAATATTCAATGCCCTTTCTTCTAGCTTTTAACATATATAATATATAATGCTATTTACAGTTATAATTTTTTAAAAATAGATTTTTAATCTACTTTTCTATTGGTTGACTTCATGGGTGTAGAACTTAGGGATATAGGAGCTGACTCTAAATGATTTTGCTAGAGACAATGGTGGACAATTTTACAAAGAAATGACTTTGAGATATGCCTTAAAGCACTAAGTCCAAACCTAAATCCCTGTTTGGACCAGGCAGGTAAATAAGGTATGGGGTTTGGTCACGGTCAGAATCCTGACAAATGGAAGACTTTTTGTACTTCTACAAGGGGTAGCTGCTACTGAGCCCAGGCAAATATTGTCCTATAGGATTGGAAAAATGTTATTAGAATTCTAATATTTCAAGAATAGATGAAAATCAGATTTTTGCATGAAATTAGTCTGCAACTGATTTTTATAAAGAAGGAAAACTCTTTTCAGATCAAGCAAAATATGTTAGCTCAATCTGGCCCACTAGTCAGGAGATTATAAACTCTACCTTAAAATACACATCCACAAAGTGAAGAAGAGAAAAGAGCATTTCAGACATACGGAAAAAGTACATCCCAGGGCCAGGGGTTTAGTTCAGTGGTTCTGCCACCTGCCTCACAAGTGCAAAGTCCAGAGTTCGATCCCCAGTACCCGACCCCCGCCAAAAAAAAGTACATCCTTTATTGAACTCCAAGTTTTACACAGTACAGGAAACAAACAGGGATGTGCTAACCCTTTTAAAGTCATATTAACTTAGGGTTCACTTTTTAAGTCATAGCAAGCTTTCTAGGTAAATTTTTTGTTTATCTGGAATAATGAAAAAGAGTTCCTAATCCAAGATTTTCTTTAGCACAAATAACGAAACGCCTCAAATACAGATATAGGAAAAAATTAATGTCTATATTTAAGTGTTTTTGTAACTCAAAATATGTCAAATTTGAAATATTTCTAGTTGTAAAGGATTAGCCTATGATTTAAGTAGCATTAATGTCTAAAAAGTAAATTTAATAAACTCTGTATACTATAATCAAACTAGAAAATTATTTTAAAATTCCATAAGAATTCTGTTCGTACAATGTGTTCATAAAACTATCTATTTGGAGAAAAATAATTTCTACATACCTTTCTTGCTTTGGGACCCTAAAAGTTGAGGAAAAAAAGAATTGATAAATTTTAAAAAGAATTCAGATACTTTTAACAAAAGCACCATGATTATATACATGTTAAAGTTAGGAGAAGCTGGGTAAGGGCATAAAAGAACTCTCTGTACCATTTTTGCAACTTTTCTGTAAATCCAAACTAATCCTAAATTTAAAAAGCTATTTGAAAAAGAATTCAGACACAACTATAAGCACATACAGAAAAAGCTAAGGTAAAAGTTCACCCATTGATGCATCTTTAAAAGCAGATTCCACACTATTTCTTATGACAATCAAGGATCTATATTTAATGAAATGCCCTGTCACTAAATAATACCAGCCAAAGAAGTACTAGTTTAAAAGGTTCCCAAAGAACTAGGCATGGTGGGGCACACCTGTAATCTCAGCATTCAGGAGGCTGAGGCAGTGGGATCACTGTGAGTTTAAGGCCAGCCTAAACAACATAGTAAGACCCTGACTCAAAGACAAAACAAAACAAAAAGGAAACATTCCAAAGAAGAATTACTGACTGTTTATTGGCATGGACATCAAACTTGAAAATGTGGAAATATTCTTAAATTATATAGAAATAATCTTTCTGTAAAATAAGATTGATGATTTTTATAAAATGGGAACCAGTCACTTAAAGTAGGCAAAGCCATGAAAAAATTTAATAATATTTTCAGCAATGTATTTTCAAACAGATATGTCCTAGAAATCATTTGGAAAACATAGTATTTCAATAAAGATTCATAATTACAAGTACTTTCCAATAATGCTACTTGTAATTTTCTGATTAGGCCCAAATGTCCATCAGATTTCTGGTAAGGAAATTTATGGATCATCTTACTATAAGATTATACACTTTATATACTTGAAGAGCCATACATGGGAAATAATTAGTTCAAGCCATAAATTAATCATTATATAATGTAAATGTTAACATTAATACATATTAGCAATTACATCATGAGCAGTGCATATATTTTACTAGTTCATTCAGCAGATCTTTATTAAGTCATTTTTTTTTTGGTACTGGGGATTGAACACAGGACCTTGTGCTTGCGAGGAAGGTGCAGCACCACTGAGCTAAATCCCTGACCCCTGCAGATATTTATTAATGATTTACACATAAGACCATCTGAGGTGCTGGAGATAATATATAGGTGAACAGCAGAGACTGGTCTTACGAGTTTTACAAATGCGACCTATTTTTATTTTATTATTTGCTATCTATTAGGAGTTAACTTATTTCCATCTTGAAATAAGTTCTATATAGCGCAGAATAGGTAAATAGTATTGCCTCTATTCTCAAGTAACCTTATTTTAAATATGGGCAAATTGTCATCTCTCACCAGTGTTTTAATATGCAGCATGTTAAGGATAAGCTCAGCCCCTCCTTTCTGTATATAAGAAAAGCCATTATGTACTGAAGTAGTTGGCATAACTATCATCTGGTCAGCATTCTGAGAAATAGATATTCCTAGAGTAAAAGTCTATGTATTCACTTCTCTTCCCACATTATGATTTAGTAGACGTGATGGGTTGAACTGTGTCTCTTTCAAGTTTCATATGTGAAAGTCCTAACCTTAGTATCTTAGAATTCGACCTACTTAGAAATAGGGCCATTGCTCATTTAATTAGTTACATTAAGATGAGGCCATCCTGGAAAAGAGTGGGTCCATAAACCAATATGACTGACAAAGACAGGAAACATGGACACAGACACCCAGGGAGAATACCATGTGAAGAATGAGGTTATGGCGCCAAAAACCAAGAAACTATTAGAAACTAGGAGAGGTTGGATAAAACCCTCCTAGGGCCTTCAGAGGAAGCTTAGCCTGCTGACACCTTGAACTTAAGACTTCCAGGCTCTAGAACTGAGAGACAACACATTTCTATCATGGTACTCCGTACCTATCAGGCCCTGGAAATCAATACAATAGACCTGGAGCTGAGTTTCTGGAATCTGCAGCTGTAGCGATATGGACTGGAAGTTCCATGGGCCACAGTTAAGAGAACATTTCTACAAGGATCTAGGAAGAAGAAACTCAAGTCCACATTCAAAAAAGAACAAGTAGGTGCTTATTCTCATAATTTGCCAGTAGTTTTAAATGGGCTTAAGCTCCATTTGCATTCTGCCAGGAATACTCTCCACTACTCCTGCCACTTGTGGAAAACTCGTATTTATATTTTAAAACAAGCTGAAAAGCACCACTCTTTCCTTCCTCTGTCTTCCTCCCCCAATTTAATCAGTGCCAATTTTGAGTTACTCCACTTTAGATCCTTCAGTTATACAGTTGTTACAATCCTTCAGTTGTTACAGTTATAAAAGTGTATTGCAGGTAATTTGTTTAATATCTCACAGCAGGACTGTCACGTTCATCTTTGCATCTTTGGCTTCCAGCCCAGCACCAAACACCAAGAATGCATTCCATACTTTCCCTTAATTAATACATTAAATAATGGAATAAGTAAGTACATTCCCTAACTCCTATGATTTTCATCATAAAGATCTCTTGATGGAAATCACATTTAAGAAAATGAGAAAAGAGATCATCTCAAGCTACATGTTGGTTTCTCTCCATGAAGACGTGACAGGTGAGGGCAGAAAAGTGAAATGAGAAGCTTTATCATGTTTAATTCTGGCTGAGTACTTTGAAACACAATTCATATTCCTACAAAAGACCACACAAAATAACTTTTTAAAGCAGAGAAAGTTATATCTATTTTTAATTAACTGCCAAGGAGATATAAAACATTTTCTCCAAGTTGCAGTAAGAGAGTAATTCAGTGGGATCATCTATTATCATCAGAAGTTACTAGCTTGAGATGTTTACAGTTGGCGGGTTTAGGATGCCATGTTACCATTCTGGCCATCTCCGGTTTGCAGAAACGGTTGGGACTCCGGACCCAGGACCGGAAGACCACTGGTCAGGAGATGGCCAACCCTCCATCGGGGCTACAAAGTTTTTCCTAAACAGATCCCCTCTACGATATGAAGGACTCTTACTACACCCTTCAACACGGGAAGCAGAATTACTTCATGCCTCTTCACCAGTCTCTTTCATCTTCCCCGCTCACCATGAGGAGGCAAAACGCGCGACCTTCACACTCAGCAAAGTCAGAGCTCCGTAGTGTGGACAAACGTTCCCGGGTTGTCAGGACGACAGGCCCCGCCCACCTACGGCTTAAAGTCCGCCCACAGGCCCGCCCACAGCAACCGCGCAGTCGCACTGGGGGTTTTCCGGTTGGTGCCCAGACCCGCCCAGCTCGCGGGTCGGACCCCGGAGAAGTGGAGGCGGTCAGAGCCTCGTCCGGCTGCGGCTTGCGGGGAAGGGCTTGTTGTTTTCCGGATCCTGGGGTCTGGAGGCGGTGAAGTATGCTCTGGGAGAAGACTGCTGGGTGTTGGAAGGGGTTTCTGAACGGCTTCTCTGACGTTGACAGTCTCCCGACCTTCGCGTGGTGTCCGGGCGAATCTTTCTGGGCGGGTGTCGGGGGACGCGGTTAGGGCTGGCGACAGCCACCACAGCCTCGGCCACCCGAGGACGGGGCTCATTTGGGAATCTAGATAGAGACAAATGGGCTCTGCGAGGCGGGTTGCTTTGAACACACAGTAGCCCAGATTCTTCTCTGCTCACGATTCTTTGTACGTAGTTATCCTGCGAAATCCAGGGTCTTTTCCCTAAGGGCAGCCCTCAACAGTGATTGGAAATGTCTTGAAGCAGTTCCCGGTCAAAGCATTCCTCACAGACGAAGACTGCTGCGATCCGGCAAACTCATTAAACTATTTGTCCAAGGTCACAGACTAATTGCACAACCTTCAGATGTTCAGTCTCCTCCCCACAGGAAGAAACAACGGCACTAAGGCCAACGGGAACGCTAGAGCAAATTGCTGCTCTCTTTCCAAAGCCCAGCTGAATTCTCTTAGGACTTTTGGAACTGTCTAAACCCTGTTTTAGCATGAAGTACATAAAAATTACTGGCAGTGTTTATCATCTCTGAATTCGCACTCTATAATGCTCCATCTCTTCCAACGTCATTTGCAAGATTTATTCATAAATAGTACTGACCGAGCTGGTCTTTATGGGTAAAATGTTATTATCCCCATTTAACAAATCTTGGTTGTGTAATAGTTGACATCTCACCTCCCTCCAAATCTTGGTAGTGAAATAAAAACATCTTACTGTTAGTTTCGTTTAGAATTCTAATTCAGCTTACCATAGTTATTTTATATGGAAGTAAGCTTTTGTTTTGAATTAATTTGTCAATGAAACTACTGTTTCATGATACAAAACTTCAACCCTTACTGAAGGGTTATAGGTTTGCTGGCTATTAGGAAGTCTAATGACTTTAAATTTCCCAGATTAACCTTAAAATGGTGGTCTCCAGGGGAACGGACTTAATTCAAGCTCTCATACTATCACCGTCCCTCATAGGGATGTGTTAAATTCTAAAATGCTGAATTATGTTCCACCAGTCACTGTGTTATAAGGGATTATACCAGTAAGCTTTGTTGTCCTCTAGTAATCTTTGTACAGGCTTCATACATCCTAAGAAGGCCTGTTTGCTATTATCAGTTTACCTTTGGACGAGTGTAGTACCTGTGTATCCATCTTCTTTCACCTCACTTGTATAATCTGCCTTCTAGGCCTAGACCCCACTGTATGCCAGCCTTTAACAGGAAACTTTTGGGGCCGGGGATTTAGCTCAGTGGTTCCACCGCCTGCTGGGAAAGAGCAAGGTCCCGAGTTCAATTCCCAGTACCAAAAGAAAAAACAAACAGGAAACTTTCTCGCCACCTACCTCTCTGATTATTTAACCTCTGGTACTGGCAAGTCTGTTTAAGCCAAGTCCCTCAGAACCCAGGGACGAGGAAGAAGGTACTGCCCATCTTGGCCAATTTTCCTTTAGCTTTTACTGTCATCTGAACTTCATGCTAAAATGAATTAACTTTGGGCACTGTAGCGTCTAGTAAAATGACAGTTCTCTGTTACCCTACAACTGGAGCTGGTTAAGTCCTACCCCCTCAGCTTGAGTCACTGGAAAAAATTAATGGGGATTGCATCTTCTCACCACACATTTCCAAAATCTGAGAATAATGGGGGACTCTGGACCCTAACTTGGCTTCCACAACTTCCATGACTTTACACAGGTTAAGCAGCAGCCCAGGTCCCTGCTGGACTTAAATTGTTTCCTTCATTGGAAATCCAAGAGACCAATTTCTCCCAATGGCTCAAAGAAACCTGAACATCTAAGGGTTAACCATACCATAATCTGCTGTAATTCATATAAATCAACCTCAGAGAACTAGAGAAGTTTACTGTGGCCACACTAGCTATATTTTTGCTAGGTAAATTTTTTATTATTTATAATTTGTATTAAAGCCAACAACTAGCCAAGTGTGGCCAATGCCAGTAATCTCTGCACTCACCAGGCTGAGGCAGGAGGATTGTGTGAATTAGCTTGTAAATTACTAGTGAATAGGGGGTTTTATAAGTATTAATTTTGGTTTCTATGTGATTTTTGTTTTTTCAGCAAATCAGGACATTTATTAACTCTAACAAGGAAAGATCTTCATTTAGCTGGTACACTGGCAGCAGGTGCCCAGGAATGTTTTTGAAAATTTCAAAATAAATGCTTATAGCTAGGGCTTCCTCCCAGAGAGACATACCCCAAGTTTTGTACAGTTGGTGGCTGGAGGCAAGCTGAGCACCTGCCCGTTAATTTGTGGCCTTGGGGTTTGGATAGATCTCTTCTTGTACATAGGGGTGTCTCCTAGTCCTACTCTTAGTTTACCAGCTCTTCTATTGTTTTTTCTTTTAACAATTTTACTGAGTTGTACTTGCTAATGCAATAAAATATACTTATTAAAATATAATTGATAATGAAACCAACATTGTAATCAAAATAATAAGCATATGCATCACCTCCAAAAGTTGCCGCACACATCTTTGATTTACCTTCCTGGTCTCCAGCCCCCCACTCCCCTTTGCAGGCTGCTCTATTTAGTATTTTTAACATCTCTGTGGTCTCCAGCTATGCCGAGAGTAGTCTGAGTGATCCAAATTAACAGCTGTAATTACTGTTACTTTTATTTTTTTCATAAATTTTATTTTATCCTATTCCCAAACCCCCTCCTCTCCCTATGTACAAAAGCTTTGTTTCCATTTTTCCTTCTATTTTCACTTTTTTTCTTGTCGCTTCCTTTCTCCTTCCCTCCTCCCTTTTCCCCTTCCTATTTCCCAACATCCATTTCACTGTTATTTTTAATGCTTTTGCAAGATGATGGATTTTTCAAGGAATACAGTTGTAAAACACTTGGGTCACATAAAAATAAGAGGATACTGAAAGAAATTATGTAATAAGAGTTCAGGGGGGCCGGGGATTTAGCTCAGTGGTTTCGCCGCCTGCTGTGCAAGCGCAAGGACCCGAGTTTGAGCTCCGGTACCAAAAGAAAAAAAAAAAGAGTTCGGGAAATTAAGCAGACAGGGGAAGCTGAATACAGTACTTGGAAGAGAATGAGAAAATCTAGAAAATTAAGTAAAATGACAAAAGGGGGGGCATGTCTAGAATTTCAAAGAACCAAATATAGTAATAGGAGTTTTCCAGGAAAGGGGGATAAAATGGAGCACAGAGGCAGGAAACCATGATAATTAAAATTATTAGGAAACAAAATAATTAAAATTATAGGAAAAAATAATTAAAATTTTCCAATTAAAAATATGTTTAGATTGTTAGACTGTCTAGCAGAGTGAATGAAAATATACATTAACATATTATAAAATTTCAAAATCTTCACAGAATGTTATGTAAGTTTCTTAGGAGAGGAAAAAATATATCACACTGAAGGATCACTCATTGGAACTGCTTTGAGTTTTTTTTTGAGACAGGGTCTCACTTTGTAGTCCAGGATGGCCTTGAACTCACTATGTGGCCAAGGCTGGCCTCAGACTCACAGTGATCCTCCTGCCTCAGCCTCCCAAAGACTGGGATTACAGGCCTGCACCACCACGCCCAGCTGAACTTCTTAATAGCAGTGGTGGAAGCAAAACTACAGATGAGCAATTGCTTCAAAATGTTGAAAGAAAAAGGCTTTCTAGCTTAGAATTCTATACCCAACTGAACTGTCAACCAAATATAAAGTAGTCAATAAAGGCATTTTTAGATAGCCCAGGTCCCATTTACATTCCATGTACCATTAGCCATAGAAGATGTGCTCTACCAAAAACCAAAATAAAACAACAAAAATACAACATGGAATGTGAAAAATACCACATAGGAGAATGGTTTAGGTGATATCCCAGGATGACTCTTGTGGCCCTTGATGCAGAGTCACCAGTCTAGAATCAAGCAGTAATACATTGGTGGCTGTCACCAAGATCACTGTCACCACTGAATCATCGTTTTCACCTGAGGACACTGGCAAGGCTGGTCCAGGTTTGTATGAATACTTGCCTTGACCATGTGATGAACTGAATGGCTGCTTTCTTCTGTGCTACACTGACGGCCAACTAAGGACACTGCATTTTGTAAATTTTGTTTCACCTGTTTCTGAAAGCTGAATGTTGGGATTTTTGTGTGTGTGTGTGTGCAGGGTCTTGCTATGTAGTTCAGGTTGGCTTGAACTATGTGGCCTAGGCTGGCCTCAAACTTGTGGCCTTCCTCCTGCTTCAGTCGCCCAAATAGTGGGCTTATAGGTGAGGCCACCATGCCTAGCCTTTGGTAAGTTTAAAGCAAAAAAATAGTCTTGTCTCTGTTTTCACTATTCAGTGGCCAGAAATCAAGTATGAGTTGTGCACCTAATTTCACATGCTTCAGTTGTGGAGAGCTAAAGATTCACTCGCGATGTTGCTAATAATTTAAAAGGAACCCATAAATCCTAGGGAAGATAAAACCAAACTAGGACTACTTGGCTTTCATATAGGAAAATTATTATTTTTCTACATGCAGAAGTATTGCACCTTTCCTTAAATTCATGCTTGCTGCTCAGATTGTCAAAACCAAAGATATTGTTTGGGGCAGTGTTCTTGGTGGGAAAACTAAACCAAGAGAAATTAGGGAATCATTAATGGTTATCTTGGTAGAGATGGCAAGAAAATGCAATTGGAGAGGGGCATAATAGGACTTCTAAGACTTTTGTTTTCAATTTCATAGCTTGATTGATGGGTACTCAGATTTTTAAAACTTTCATTTTCACATATTTTATATACTGTTTTTATGTATAATACATATCATTTTACAGCTGAGATTAAATACAGGAAAACATTGGTACCTGGCTTTCAAATTATGAAAGATAAAAATTTTGCCAAAATGCCTAAAGGAGGGGGCAGGTCAAGTCATAATGAGACTACATTATAGTTTAGGACTGAACCAAAATAAAAATAATGGGGAGATTTATGCAGCACAGTGATTTTTAATTGGATATGATGCTATGATTTTTATCTGCTTTTTATGGTAGTTAATTATAAAGTAACCTTTAAAACTGATCTAAAGATGTTATTTTTGTTTTTTTTTTTTTTTTTTTTGTACTGGGGATCGAACTCGGGTCCTTGCGCTTGTGCAGCAGGCGGCGAAACCACTGAGCTAAATCCTCGGCTTATTTGTTTCTTGCATGACCTTCCAAATAATTTCATCCAAAGCTAGTATGTGGGGCTGAGAAAGGTTGCTACCTAGGGAAGGGATTAAGGGTTGGTAGGGCAGTAGCCCAGTGAGGGGGATGGGAGCCCAAAGGGTGTTGGGTGAGGTGCATAGCAGAGGCCTAGCATGAGTTGAGGGCATCTCTGGGAAGAGAGGATGGTGGTCCAGGTTGCTGGAGTGGGAACAGGGAGAGATGTTCTAGAACAGGAGTGGTACAGCGTAAGTTGTCTGAGCCAGAAGAGTAGGTGGGGAGGGAACAGGATGTGTGTGCGGTGCTGGCAGTGTGTTCTGGCACTTGGTGGGAGAGCCCACAGTAGTGTGTGCTGAGCGGTGACAGTGACAGGAATTTCATTACGTAGTAGGAGAAGGGGTGACGATCTAAAAAGTAAATTTATTAATAATGCAAACCAGATTTCTCATTATTGGACAAGAATTATGAGTATGGTAGACAAAACAATAAACTGTACAGCTGGAATTGAATATTATTGATTTACATAGAGAACATAGATGCACACACATCACCTCAGTCACATCTACATGTGTACACATTTGCAACTTTGTCACTTAAGAGGCCCCAAGAACAGTGACAGCCCCCTAGTAATGAGCACTTCTAGCACCAGATCTTGGTTTCTAATATATTCCCTGTGGATAGTAGTTTCCATTCTCCACTAAAAGAACCGTAGAGGAATAATTTAACAGTAGTGAATCTTGGCACACATCCTTTCATCATGCAATCAAAATGAGCATCATAATGGAACCCATGGGAATTGTGTCTACCTGATAGGGCACAATGGTAGGGATTTTATGAGTTAATCCCTACAACTATAACATGTAGTGGGAGTTATTTTCTAGGTTTATGCTGTAATGGCACCTTTAAAGAGTCTCCTGTCCTTAGTAGCAGTAACAAATGACAAGGAAGCATGATTGATGTCACCAGATGTTCTTCATACACACCCTTGTAGGATGTCCACTTCACCATCAATCTGACTGCCCATCTGCAATGGGTTGCCAACCTGCCTAAATCAACCGTTTCTTCTAGCCTTCTGTAAAGTACTCTTGTAGATTTGATCAGGGCTCTTAAATAAATCTGGCCTTGCCTTGAGAGCAGGGTAAAGACATTTTTCCTTTTGATGATAAGGAAACTAAAGCTCAGAAAGGTTAAGTAAACAACTGTGCAACACATTATGCAGCTGGAATTCCAATCTAGTTCTAGCTCATTCCACAGGCATGAAAGGAAGTATGGCTACATATCTACACTAATCTCACATACTGTTTCCTTCAGAGGACTTGTCACAGTTCATATTTATCTTGTGTGCCTACTGTCTCTCTTAAAAGAAATCAGTTCTGTAAGAACAAGTTATCTTAACTGGTTTAAGCTGTCTCCCAATACCCAAAACACAGACATGCTCAATAAATATTTATCAAATGTAAAAAACCAGTTACCATTTCCCCAATACGACAAAGGTCTTTTTTTCTTTAAGATTACAATGGATACTTGTAAAATGTTCTTTTTGTCTTTTCTTTAGATGTGTTATCTACAAAAGTGGATTAATTTCCATGTTAAATGAAAATGGCCAATTCTTTAAGAGGAGAAGTATTGAACCTGTACAAAAATGTAAGTAATTATATTGCCAATTTTATAAATGTTGTTCTACAACATGGATTGTTTCGAGATATATAATCTTTCTTTTTTAAGCTGCTGTATCTTGGACGGGACTATCCAAAAGGAGCAGAGTATTTTAAAAGGCGTTTGAAGAATGTTTTCCTTAAAAACAAAGATGTGAAGGACCCAGAGAAGATCAGAGAACTTATTGAACGAGGCGAATTTGTAATGAAAGAGCTAGAAGCCTTATACTTCCTTAGGAAATACAGAGCTATGAAGCAACGCTATTATTCAGATGTCAACAAAACTAACTGATCATTATTATTATAGGTTGGCTGAAAATCAGTGCCAGCTGTCTATATCAAATATTGTGAAATAAACCTAAAAATGGCAACACATATGTAAAAATATCTGAGCTGTCTTACTGAACTAAAATAACTTTCAAGCTTTACTGATATTAAGAGCTTTGGCCACAATTTGGTGCTCAATTTTTATTACTAAAATAGCTGTGCTACCAATTGTAACTGAGTACTCAATATAATACACTTAATTCTCCATTTTACTGAGAGAACACCATTTAGTAAGCAAAATAATTTCTTACACATTTATTGCTCTTAACTTTTGAAGTACTTTTATTTTTGACCCAATCTGGTACACTGACGGACATGTTCAAGGTCTGTTACAAAACAGACCCTAGTAATAATTTAAATGCAATTCTAGAAATATGAAGATTATGTCAGACCTTAAAATAGCCTGACAATGATTGGCATTATATAACTTCTGTTATTTCCATTCATTTTGCTGCTGGCTCCTCCTGAGTCTTAAAACAGATCACCATTTATATATAGGTTGTTTTCTTCCATAAAAAATAATATTACTTTACTTTTATTGTCATAAAAGCAACTTGTTTTGGATCTACTTCTATGGGTTAACGTGACAATGGACCGAATCCTAACAGGATTTTAAGTTTAAATAAACACTTAAGCCTTTTTATAATATGCTTGGTAACTTTTAAAAATAAAGAATATTTCTAACTTAAGAGCTGCTTTTTAAGATTCACTGGTATACTTACTTTAGTGTTTGTGCATTATAACATATTCCCTGTCAGTTGGGGGGCAAATGTTTTAAATTTCCATCTAGAAATACACATTATTGGGGCCAAATATGTGGCTCAGTGGTGGAGCACTTGCCTAATACATTTAAGGCCTTAGGTTCAACCTCCAACAAAAAAGAAAACAAATACACACTATCATGGTCACTATAACTATTTTTTATTACATTACGATAGGAGTGGTACAGTTCATGACAAAAATATTACAAATTTCATATCACTTCACAGCACATACTCCTATAAACATTTCAAAGTTAATTTTAATTAAAAGAGTGGTCATTTTAAAATTTAATGTTCGACATGACCAACATTCCTAGGTCAGCGCAACCAAATGATGGAAAAACAACTGGATCACACTGCATATGTCCCACAAAAAAAGCACAATGTACAAAATGTGCATGTTTCAGTTTACACTATACAAAAATAGTTAAAATACATTCCAGGTAAACATGTTACATTAAGAAATAGTACTAGTAAGAAATTGGCACTCAAAGGAAAAATGCAAAAGTATTTTCAACATGAAAACACAAGACAGTGGAACTGGAAACTTTCTGATAAAATATTAATGGAACCCATTTAGCTCTATTGGGGGATATGGACCCTCTGAAATTGACGTATTTTGCAGGTAAACTTTGTTTTTCCTAAATTCATCTAAATGCCTATCACCATCCCAAATAGGCACTTCAGACTATTGAACTAAAACACAAATCTTAATCTAGTTACGACAATCCTTCCAGAACTAAAGTGTATCTTTAGAAATTTTCATCTGGACAGGATTTTACAACTACCAGTTGTACGCTATCCAGTTTCTCAATGCAGAATTCATGCTACCCAATATTAACACAGAAGTTACTGAAAATATATTCATTTAAAAAGTAACTGATGGATTTTTAAAAGAAATTACTTTATTTAAAAAAATTTTTTTAATTTTTTGGTACCAGGGATCGAACTCAGGACCTTGTGCTTGCGAGGCAGGCGGTGGCAGCACTGAGCTAAATCCCCAGCCCAGAAATGACTACTTTAGATGGAAATAATTTCACATAATTTTTGTTGTCTACCCCCAAAACATCCCTAAATGTGTATAATATTGTTTGGGAAAAATATTTAGAAGATCACTAGAATACAAATGAGATGAGTTTGTGCAAACTAACTTAACATGCCTCACAAGCGTGTGTGTGTGTGCGTGTGTGTGTGTGTGTGTGTGTGTGTGGACAAAATTGTGCAATGGTGGCAGGATAACCTATAAAAGTTAGGTTCTAAATTCTTATGCAGTGTGACTCAGTTAATAGAGCCTAGAATTTCTAATTGAGAATATTCAAATTATGCTACTGATGTCTGCTATATTCTTCCCACAAACATGTTAATGCCTAATACTATGTAACTTAGCACTGTTTTCAACTTCAACAAGGATTTTAATCTTTTGTAGTAAATTAGATAACATTTTTAGGGTTCTCTCCCCTTTAAAAATCTCTACAAAAACCTTTTGTTAAACCATTCAAAATTCACATAATAAAGGATAATTATTACTACTTTAAAAAAATTTTCCTAGCTACATAAAAAATTCAAGAGTCCTAAATATCCCATTATGCACTGCAGTTCCTGAAAAATGCTCATTTCTTTCACTGTGTAGAAACTAGAGGAGGTACTGCATAAGTCTTATAACCCTACCTAGACACAATGTTCCATAAATCTGTAGTTTAGTAAAGCATTACACAAGTCATACTTGGTTTTTACAGTTTTCCTTTTCTGTGAATTAGCTCAGGCACCTGTTTATTTGTACCCAAATAAAACTATAATTAATTTTTTAAAGTCTGCTTTAATTACTTATACAGAGAAAAAACTAGAATATTACACACGAGAAATTTTACTCCTTTAAAACAATTAAGTAACGGTTTATATCAAGTAGTTCAATTAAACACTTGCACTGGAATCACAGCAAAACAATTACTGTAGAACTGGAAGAACCCTTAAAGACCAAACCCTCTCTCTGCAAAATTTAAATTATATACTGTATTATGTTATCTCTGGGTCACATGCCAAATGTGTTACTAAGATATGACAGAAAACTCAACACTACTTCAGGACAAGGATTATGGCCTTTTTTAATTTTTAAGGCTGTCAAGTCCCCAGTGCCTGGTCCAGTGGCTGAACAAATTATTTACTATGTAAATGAATTTTGCTAAGAAGTAAGTTTTACAAATTAATCTTTAAAGTTTTGTTCATTGTAAGATGATTTCAGTTAGTAAAACAATGGAATGTATCACTGTTACCAGGACTATTCCTAGCTAGACTCCAGCATCATTCTCCTTGTACTATAGCAGGCAGACAATTCATACTAGGTTTGAAAATTCCTACTTAGTCACCAACGGACTATTTAGTGAAGAGATGATGTTCGAAGGTTCAATATTAAATAGTACAGCAACCACCTGAAAATTAGCTGTTAGGTCCAATCCCACTAAATACTGCGTGGAGGAAGTAAGACACAGGGCAATTTTGATGTACCTTAATGGACGGCCTTCTTGGAGATTTCACAGCAGCAATATATTATGAGGTTATGGGAATTAAAATATTAAAAGAAAATTGCTTTGAATCATGGGGCATGTGGAAGGGTGGCAGGTAAGATGACATTAATATGGGAGAGGAGTACTGAAACTAGAGAATGGATATTCAAATATAAACTTCACCTCTTGCACAATTTTGCCCAAGATTGGCAATGAAGATGATTATACAGATAAAGAAGTACAGCAGATTGTGCTGAGCCTGACAAACAGGTGTATCTTTACGTAAACTGAATGTAAACTACATAGTTATAAAATTAGATAGGGTCTTTGAGATGATTTCTTTTAACAAAGTGGATAGTAAATGATTTTCTCAAAATCAGTTTTAAAAGACACATATCTAGAATCTAAGTCACCTTTCTTCTAGCCCAGTGATATTTTCACCTCACCACACCATCTCACTTCAAATATTTTAAATTAAATAACACTTTAAATGTATTGAAAGAATTGTTTTTATTAATATTATTTTTAAACCATTAGATGTTCTTAAATATGGATGGGACTTGAAAGGCATTCATAAAATGCTACTGTAGCCAGTGTTAAGAAAACTAGCCCAACTTAGGGAGTTTGAAACTTTGTCAAGTCACTGATTTAAAAGAAAAGTTTTGGTGCTCTCTCATCCCCAAATTGCAACTTTTAAGTTCATATTTAAAAGTAGTATTTTAAAAAGTTTTTTTTTTTTTAAAGTGCCATAATTTGTCAGTAAAGACTACCACATAGTGAGAATGCATTTTGTCGACCTATCCAAATTTTCTCCTGCTGCCCATTTTGACCAGTCAGTTCATGATGATGCTGGATGACCATGGGAATGCAGCCCCTGCTATGAAACTCAGTGACACTCAGAGGTACCCAGAGAGCCTGGCCTTGCGACACTTAATGAATGGATAACTGGCTTCAATAATCTCTGTTATCACTACCAGAACTGAAACTATTTTCAAAAACCGAGGCTTAAATTTGTGCGAAGAAAGAGCAATCTAAGGGAGAATATATTTAATTCCTATAGAATTTTTATGCACATTAAAATTGTTTCCACTATTATAAAATTTTAGTAGCATGTAAGTACAGTCCCAAAATGGTTGGTATAATCCCCATTGCATACTAGATCTGCCTTGACAGGAAAAGCTAGGAATCTTACAGTAATTTATCTAATGTGGAAAGTCAATGGCCTTTTAAAATTTTTCATTACCTTATTTTTTTTCTATTTTTCCCTTTTTATAGAAAAAATATAGTATTTTTGGAAGAGTGACCATGACTTATTGCAGTGGGAAGGGGAGAAAACTTTAGTGAACAGTGTAACTACATTCATGAAGGATGACAAACTATAGGTCATGATGTCTAGAAGCTGAATCAAAGGAAGCCTATAAATTTGTGATCCTTCCATAGCTCAGTAAAACTAATAAAGTCTCAACTGAAGTTATAATTACTAAGGAATCCATTTTTGTGACTAGGTAAAACAAAACAGGGATGATTCAAAAGCTTCATAAATCTGTTTCACACCAACATTCACAATTGGTAAGAAAAATAGGAAGTAATCAACTTGCATGCACCAAAAACCCCAAGACAGAAATCTCAGGTATTCAGTTTCTTTTTCACAGGCATTGCTAGTTCAAAAACCAAAATGCAGGGAATACTGGCACTTAGAGGAAGAAAAAGTTTCCACTGTCATTTTAAAATGAGCATTTAAGATAAAAGCTAAAAGTCTGCATGAAACAGGAAAAAATATTAGGTAATGCTAAAACAAAAGCTAATAATTTAGTGTAATGTACAAAAATTACCACTTTTACTTAAGTATGCCTTAAGAAAAAAGTACAAATTGTATTTACATAATTATACACTTTGTCTTTGACTTCTTTTTCTTCTTTTTACCATCTTTGCTCATCTTTTCTTTATGTTTTCGAATTTCTCGAACTAACGTATAGAAGGCATCATCAACACCCTGAAATACACAAAAAGTATAAAATGTGAATGTTTATATATGGTGATTTAAGGTACACAGATAATAAGTTTCCGTAAACACTGATAAAGAATAAGGACACTTCATGTTTTTCTTCAGGCAGTTGAATATATCAGACTTTTAGGATCCTTAAATATTGTCTTCACGGCAATTCTGACATTACAAATGGGACCGAGTCTCCTAACAGGCAACAGCAATCAGTGACAGAGAATGTCACAAATGACAGAAAAAGTTGACAGAAAGTCAACAAATGATGTGTTTTTTTGCAGAACTTAATTTGCTACTAATTTTTCCATGTTAGCAAACCTTACTTCTCAAATCCAAATGCATGCATGTGTGCTTGTGCACACTTGTGTATATACACTTCTATTTTCAGTTTCATAAATCACAGCAACAGTATCTAAGCTCTCGTTCTAGATTCACAATTTAAATACTTCACCAAGAAGTAAACAGTATCTAGACCCCCCCTTTTTTTGAGTTTTCAGATGTTAAGACACTAGTTTCAACCCACACATTATCATTAAGAAAGTGGTGTAAAGTGACCCTGACAAAAGATAATATTATTTTGAAAAATGTTAGTACCTGATTTTTTTTTTTTTTGGTACCAGGGATTGAACTCGGGTCCTTGCGCTTGCGCAGCAGGCGGCGAAACCACTGAGCTAAATCCCCGGCCCAGTACCTCTGATTTTTGAAGGGCTAAACCATTTAAATGATGCTGTAGTTTACTAATGTGGAGGAGGTTTTTTTATTATTTTAGTTTCTGTTCAGTATATTATATAAAGCTTGCCATATAAATACTTGACTTCAAAGAATTTCAGTTCTGAGGTACTATGTCTATTTGTAATCATAGCAAGGTATATAAATTCTAAATCAGCTATAATTAAAAAATGATTTTAAGTCAAAATAATTTTTAACCTAATAATCCACAATGTGAAAAGTGGTATTTTGAAAGAGGTAGCAGAATCGATTTTAATCCTTGAATACTTATTCAGTCAGCATATAAGTCAATTTTACCATGTCTCCGTTAATAAGTGAATTAAATATAAGTAAATGCAAAAAATTGAAAAAAATATGATCCTTTCTTGTATTTTAAAATCTTTTCCACCTATCAGTAAATATAGAAAGAAAATGTTAACTTAATAATGCTTCCAAACCTAGACACTAGAGGGAGTCTTAGGAACAAATACCCAACAAATTAAATTGGATAAATCAAGCAATGTTAATAAGAACAATGAACTGGGTTTCTACTCATTGTAATTTACCTCTGTTGAATAATTAATTATATAAAATTTATAATATGTATTGTAAATACCCTATGTATAAATACATTACATTATCTTAAAAATTAAATTTTAAGTGATAGGATTTATCCTTTAACACATTACTCAGATCTTCAACATATTTCAAAATAACAAATTACTTCAGAGCCTTTTCTTTCTCAAGTTATTTAACTAATTTTCAAAACAGATACATAACTAAGAAAAGTATGACCGATAGATATTTTCAAACAGGAAAGAGTGGCAATGAGAGGCTCACCCAGGTTTGAGTAAGCAGTAGTAGGATAAAAACTAGCATCACTGATTTGAATACCAGTGAATAAATGTTCCCAATTAAATACTCAAACTGCATGCAGTGATGCTTTCCACTTTCTAAAAATTGTTACTGATACAGTAAGTACAAATACATGGTTTTGTTTCTCCCAAAGGAGAAAGGAAAAGTGATAATTGATCAGCAGTACAACCAAGGCTTACTCACCTATATCTCCCTTTATGCTATCCTTCTTAACACATATAAAGTGGAAAACTTCCAAAAGTATAATTATCTATAACTCACAAACATGTGACAACTGAGAATCTGAAATCCTGAGACTAGGATGCAGTCTTAAAAAAAGATCTATAATTCCCTTATCCTTCGTGAGTTAATTCCCTTTGGTCACACACTCTTACGTAGTCTATTTCAACTACTTTTATAATGAAGAAAAAATGCCAGTGAAGCAAAAAATGAAAAAACAACTTAAGACAGAAGACTTTGTAAGGTAAAAGTATACACTTCAGTAATTAAGACACAATGAAGCCAGGTGTAGTGGCACATGCTAGTAACCCCAGCACTCAGGAGGCTAAGGAAGGAGGATTGCCCTGAGTTTGAGGCCGGCCTCTGCTACATAGTGAGTTCAGTCGCAGCCTGAACTACATACATAGGAAGATCCTGTCCCCTCAAAAACAAAACAAAACAAGAAAAGGAGAAACAGCGAAGGCAGATTTTAATAACATGACCCTCGTCTAAGATTCTAACAAATACTTTAAGCTCATGCTACACTGGCCTCTACATTAGATAATTTCAATGAGTAGGGAAAATGTCACAGTTAACCTAGACAGTACATTAAGTTCCTTTTTGTTGTACAGGAATATATATATATATATTCTGTCTGTTTAAGCCTGTCTTTTTCAAGACTAAGGAAATATGATTTGTATATTATCAAATACATTTAAAAAAATATGTTCACTGAACTTTATTAGGGAAGTAAATTTTTTCTTTATATAAGTGCTATTCATGTCCACTAAAAAAGATTTAATTCATTTTGTCAAGCAACTACTTGACAGTCACACTACTGTCAACTGTGAAAACTATGCACAAATTAGAAAGTTCAGAACAGTATGTTTCTGTATTTGTTTTAAAGTATAAAACTTATTTTTGAATTTTATTTGAAAGTTTATTTTTAAAATCTAATAGACAATAGGAAGATAAAATAAGTTGGTTATGATACTGTTATTTCCAAAAGTTTTAACTTTTCAAGTTGCATTTTAATGTTATATTTTACCACAACTTCTAAAATTAAGGCGCTGCTTATACAATGATACTCAAAAAATATTAAGAGTTCATAAATCTGTTAAAAATGTCAGTAATAGTTTGGCAGATAAATTTATTACATAATGCCTTTTTGGACTGAGTTTACTATTCAGATGTGTATTTTAAACTTTTGGGAAATAGTCATTATTTCAGACCTGAAATTCATATAATCAATTTTTAGCTTAGCACAATAAATGATATTCTAGCAGTTTTGAAAAGTATAATTTTATTTCATGTCCTCAAAGAATACTGCATATTATGAACAACAGGCAGCAAAAATTTGAGCATTGGCATAAACTTTATGTCTGTCATCTACTGAATGAGGTTTTTTCTGAACAAGACAGAATTTAGACTCTACTCAAATCACATTTACTGGGCAGCCACTAACTGTAGGAACCTTACTATGTAATGGGCATGCAAAGATTAAAAATACATAGTTCGGGGCCGGGGATTTAGCCCAGTGGTTCCACCACCTGCTTTGCAAGCACAAGGTCCTGAGAAGTTCAATCCCTGGTACCAAACAACAAAAAAAATTTATGTATGGACAAAAATTCAAGCAAGATGACAGTGTTTTTTAGACATAAGGCCAAAAAGGCTGGAGAGGTGGTATTAAGGACCACATACACCATGCTGTAGAGCCTGAGATTTTATTTGGTAGGTAAGTCAGTGACTAGATTTACAGATAAGAGAATCTCCTTTCTTTTCATCATCTCTGCTTGCACAGGTGGCAGCAATAGGTATATAGGAGGTTAAAACAGTCCCAGCAAGAAATCAGAGGGGCCTGAGCAAATGATAAAAACCAGAAAGTAACACCATAGACTTTATAGTAGCTTCCAAATTGGGTGAAAAAGAGAGGCAGGAGTCAACCCAGAACTCCTAGGTTTTTCATGTGAGCAAAAAAAGTACTGCAGATGCCACTGAGTTAGAGAACCTAGTTAGAATCCTTATGGTTTCTGCAATGTTCCAAAGGAAAAATACATTGCAAGAGGGGCCCTTTCCCATATGCTGGGCCATTCAATCGTACTCTTCTGTACCATGTCCTATATATTTTTCTTGCTAAGAAAAGAAATCAAAAGCTGATTTTAAATCCTGAATCTGATTTTCCTTAAAAATGAAGTTATCAGTTCCCAAACAGTTAGCTAACTTAAGACTAAATCAGAAGTTTATGCTGAACATAGTCTATTATAGCCATCAAAATGGTCTTGATTATAATTTTTATTGCAAAGTAAATGTATTAATTATGGAAACAAACTAAGATTCTTAATATTTCAAATTAAAATTCCACATCTAAATAGTTCCATGTGGTTGCTATTTCGTTACCTTTGAAAGACATCTGCTTTCCGCCAAAATTAATAGGCTGAACTTACCAGATTACATTATAATGCATTTTTTAATTTTCACACAGCCAGGAGTCTTTTCTTCTTTGCTGATTTTTTTCAATCTGTATTGTCGAATCTCTCTCACCAATGTATAAAAAGCATCCTCCACTCTCTGCATTGTAAAACACAACTTCTTTAAAGTCTGTTTCATTGGTAAGAGTAATTTATTGGGACAGCCATGTGCAGGAAGTTTGTAACTATGAGCTTCACTTGAGAATTTTTTTTTAAACAGACACTGTTTGAATAAAATTGAGGATGCATTTTTAAAATATGGGCTGGAGCCTGGTTTGTTCTTAAAAGTTTTGTTTTCTTATGGAATTAAGAGTTTTTAAAAAATTGAATTTGAAGTTGGGGAGATTACGAAAAACCTATGTTTATCAATTTATACAATCATTTTAATTTGCCAGTCAAGAAGTTAAAGCCTAAAGTTGGGTTTTAATCATTTAATTATTTACTGTACGAAGTGAGAAAAGTGGTAAAATTAGAATATACAGTCTATGTTAAAACACAAAAAGTATCTTGCAGTAACAGCCAAGAGACTAGAATCTCAAAGGTTACCTCCGACTGTAACACTTTGTAGCCAATTTTCTAATTCCACAGCTAGAATTGAGACTGAGATCTTTGTTGATGGATAACTACATTATTTAAATATTAAATAAGGGCTGTTTGCCAAAATACTAAAATGTCACAAACTGTTTAAAATACACACAAAATGGGAGTAGTGCATTTTATATTTTTACTACAAGTTAAAAACAAACTGCAGAACAGTGTTCAAACATACTGGCTTTGTAACCTCTATTCTAATTTAAATATTCTATATGGGCTTATCCAGCTAAGGCTATGATAAGAAAGCGCTAACAAAGCACAATCATATAAACGCACACTGAAGATAAAGTGTTCATTTTTCCTAGCCCAGAAAATTAGGCAGTAGCCCTAAGGGGACAAAGCACTTGGGCACAAAGCACCAAAGTAGGGGTTTCCATCTAAAAGAGAAATGCATATTTCTATTAATCTTCATGTACTGCAAATTAGCTTTAAAGATGTGATATTTGTGTTCACTCTAAAAGATGTGAACACTTAGGAAAGTTGTTATATTTTACTACACATTTAATTTTAAGCTTATTGTGTTTGTTTCATTTTAAGAACAAACTGAATTACCTTGGGCACTGGCATATTTTAACCTTGTGCAATTGGTAATATCTATGTCTCTACTGAACCGAATGTGACAAAATGGACCCTGCACCTACAAAGCTAACATATATCAAAAGTATGATTTGCAGTTTTGAATTTAATGAGGCACTGAGTCAGCCACTAGGTTATTAAGGGCAGTAATCCAATGAATGGGGCTAATTTTTATATGCTTAAGTCATTTGTACATTTACTGTCAACTACAGCTAAAAGACACTTCAATTCTTTAGGGTATATTTTTACAAATCTCAAGAGTACATAAGAACTGCTTCAGTAAAGTTAAACAGTTTATCCTTAAGAGTTTTGATAAAATTAAGTTTCAGTTAAGAAACAGGCATCTAAATATGATTATGTATTAAAATGTATACTTCAATCTTATACCATCCAACAATCTAATAATACAAATATTATAGCTCAAGAAAATTTTATTTTATGTTTAATGGAGTCAATTAGCTAGCTAAATCAACTAGAAATAAAAATTTCCAATTATTTTTAAAGCATTAAATGTGTTGGCACTCTAAATTACATCTGCATTTATACTGGCTTATAAAAGCTTGTATGTATCATTAATTCTCAAAAAGGTTTATTTTTAGTCATTTGTCCTTGAAAAATTATACATTAGAAATGTTCATCATTAAGCAAAGTTAACTTAAGATATCAAGATAACTCTGGTAAAGCATGTAAAAAATGTAAAGTAAGAGCTGTCGCTATCTTTAGAAATGATTTTTTTCAATTTGAAAATCAATGCAAGTTAAAAAGTATATATTTGTATATATCTATATAGAGATATTTATACACAAACCAGGTAAAAGCTCATATTTTCTTATAATTTTAAAGACTGTAAACTTTATTCCTGTTTAAAAAAAACTCACAAGGTCATTGTAGAAGTACTAAAATAGGCTACAGGTGAGGATAATGGGATATTGGTCCTCTACTAACTTAGCAGAAGCAAATTCTGATTTTAACTTATTTCTGAAATCAGTTTGAATGTGGCTGGTTTCTCAGTGTAAGCGTCCCCATCACCAATACCAGAGTATAAGATGTTTCCAGCAATGCAGAGAGAATTGGAAGCCAATAATTATAGAGATCACTACCCACCACCTGAGTGGCTAAGTACACCAAAAATCATTTTTCAATTTATTTTTTCTGATATGAAATTTAGATTAGATTTAATAAATCAGTCATTTGCCATAATTTTTCAGATTTGAACTAGTTATTTCTTAATAATCTTTTTTTAAAGTCAGACTGCCATCAAGAGAACATAAGGAGGCCGAGGCATGAGGGTCCCAGGTTTGAGCCTAGTCTGGGCAACTGGACCCTGTCCCCAAATAAAAATTAAAGAAGGGCTGGAGATGTAGCTCAGGGTGCAGGCCCTGGGCTCCATCCCCAGGGAGGGCAGGGCAAGGGAGAGGAGAGAGAGGAGAGGGAGGAGAGGGAGGAGAGGGAAGAGAGAGAGGGCTCTACAACATGAAAACATTGTTATTTATCTCTGCCTTACCATTGGTACTAGATCACATTTTTAAAAACTGCATACAACTACGCATACAATTATGAAAAAGAAGACTCATTTCATATTCCAAAATATTAAGGTAATTTTTGAAGCTAATGTATAGCTGAAACATATTCAGTACCCACTGTAACCAGTTGCTAATAAGCTCTTATCTGGTACTCAGTGATTTATCCTTGAAAATACGGCTTATTGCTATATATACTCACTTTCAAATGTCACTTATTAAACTCTTAAGAACAAATGAAGATATTTATATAGGAATAAGAGTATATAAGTTTAAATATGTAATTTTTCAAGTCGAGATCTGACAGTATTTTCAACTTAATATAAAACCGACTTGTAAGGATATAGAAACAGCTCTCCATAATGCAGAAAATATTGTTAAAATAGTATTATTGTATATCCTAATGCCTATGCTTTCACTAAGATTTCATTTTATCAAGTATTTCTTCTGTTGAATCTGCAAAAATTCTTCCAAAAACTTTTCAGGAAAATAACATACCAAATACCCTAATTATGTAAAGATACAAGAATATCGGCTTCTTTTGAGACAGGAATGGAGGAACAAAATGTATTCTGCAAAGCAACTTTGCATCCCTGACTTCTCATTAATCTTGCCAAATTATAGCCCTTTTCAGGTAGTACTGAAGTATAAGAATAACACTACTTGGGAGGATATGCATGGTTTACGGTAGGCTCTCAGTAATTGTCTTGGTGCTTTTTAATGAGAAAAAACCCAAAATTCAAAATACTGATTTTGTACACAAACTCAAAAAACAGATATGGCACAGGGGAGGGTTTTTGTTTTGCTTTAACTTTTTTTTTTTCCCATTAACTTTACTGGTACATTTTAGGTATATAATACAGTTACATTCATCATTGGGATCTTGTACCATTACATGAGTCTCTTGGTTCTTATTTTTTTTCCCCTTCCCTTGCCCTCCCTTCACCCCCTCCACCCTTCCTTATTTGCAAAGACCTTGTTTTCATTTTTTTCCTCTTCTCATATTTTTTCCTTTCCCTTTTTTCCCTTCCCCTACCCCTCCCAATTCCCCTGCTCTTTTAGACCATTTCTTCCTGTTACACAATATCAGTTATACATTTTTTAAATTACAATATTAAGATCTAGGAGACATTACCACAGATTTCACAGAATTTAAAAGGATATAGAAAGCATATTACAAAAATCTTTTTTGAAATAAATTTGACAACTTCTAAGAAGTAACTTAGAAGACAAATTAATGAAACTAACTCTGGAGGAAGTATAAAATTTGAATAGCACCTATTAAAGAAAATATATTCCTAGCTTGAAAACCTACCTATATGACAACAGCAGGCTCATATACATTTTAACTGATAAATTATATCAAACAATTAAAGCAGAAAAAAGAAGGAACACTTCTCCCCTCATTTTAGGAACTCAACATTGTGCTAATCCTAAAACTGGATAAAGATAATAGAAGAAAAAAGTATGAACATAGATAGAAATTTGTTTAACAAAACAAACTCTTAGAAGTCAGATCTGGCAGGATGTAGAAAGTGGTTTTGTTATAGGGATGGCAGTGTTGGTTCAGCATTGGAAGATCCACCCCTAAAAGTCATCATTTGAACAGAGGAAAGGAGAAAGCCATACGATCCCGTCACTAGTTGGAGAAAGAGTATTGGACTAAATTCTACAGCTGTTCATGGTAAAAGCTATCAGGAGACTAGAGGTAGAACAGAACCTTCTCAACAGATCAAAGACATGTACTCCATACTTCCAACAAAAACTCTGTTTTGCTTTAACTTTATGATAAACTTTAATAGAAGTCTTCTATCAATCAGTTTTATGTACCTAGAAATTAACAACAAAACCCTAAAATTAATCACTCAAAATTTGGAAAACTAATTTTTACATTAAGTTCAAACTGAAACCACCAGAATGCAAACAAAGTGAATGGGGAGAAGCAAATATTCAGAGAAGTCTGCTTTGGTCATCTACTTTACTGAGTCCTCCCCACTTTTAAGAGTTTAGCTGACTGGAAACTCAAAGCTAATTCCCACGGCGTATGTGTTTCAGTTTTAACAGCTTCTGCCAACACTACTATACACTACCCGAACAGACCAGGAAAATCCATCCATTACTGTCTAGATAAATGGGAAACTAAGTAGCAACCCTTATACACTAAGAACACAGGGATCACATATAGCATACTAGTGGAAAATAACTACTCTTTCCTTTCAGATGAAGACTGAAATACTGTAAAGAATATGAAATGCATTATATTCTGGCCAGGTAAAGGTTTTCTGAATTACAAACCAATTAAATTGGTAAAAAAGATATATATTCTGCAACACCGTAAAAAGTACCAGAGTGACATTTCTGTTCCCTTTCCATAAATAATTTTAACTTTAAAATTACAGTACTAGAGTTCATCTATAAAATTTTAGTTGAAAGTCTGGCCTAACTTCCAGTGTCTAATCAAATAAAATTATCCAAAACATTAAGAATTAGCATAATACAAAAAAAGAAAGAATTAGCATAATACAATCCTTAGGCCAATACAGCCACCACCTCTTTTGTACTATACACAAACAAAAAAATGATTTTTGTATTTTAAAAAAGAGCAACAGATTGCACTTGTGGCCCTCAAAGTCCCAAATATTTAGTATCTGACCCTTCACAGACAAAGCTTGCCAGTCCTTAACTCAGAACTTCTAAATGAATGTTCTGTTAGTACTACCCTGGATATCATTCTTTTCAGTATTTATGTTGTAGGCTCATGAACAAGACCTGAAATTAAGGCACAACGTAAGTTGCTGATAAAATATAATAAAGATATTCATATTTTACTCAAATGACAAACCAAATAATAGATGAGTAACAAAATACTCTGCAAAAGGAAGGGCTTCAAATTTTCACAAAAACTGGAGCTGTAAAGTTTACTAAAATGTATAGTACGTTACAATTTCTAAAACTATGTGGAATAGCTCTTTAAAGGCTTCCAAAAGCATGCAAATATCAAATTAATTTCAAAAATAAAAGATGAATAAACTTTTCAAAGCAAATTCATTTCTAAGCAAATCAAGTCCATTCAATAAAATAAAATCAAAGAACAAATTAAATATCTTAAGTTATATAGTTTATCAACATACACTACATAAAGACATCAGTAAAACAGGATATAAATACAAGAATGACAGACCACTGTGTTAAGAAGTACTTTTGTATTAAATCCCTCTACATATTAATTAGATGATCCACATAAATTTCTAAAAGCAAATTTAGGCTAATCTACATCTACATCATATACCATCAAAAAGAAAACTAAATTTAAAAAAACCAAGGCCACAAAACAGTATAAAACCTAAAAATCTATTTTAAAACAAAGACTGGTAATTTTCTGATCAATTATGAATGCTGTGGTACATTAAAGCATTAATGTCAAACACCAAGAATAAATCAGTGTTTTGAGGTAGCAATCATACAAAGAAGAGACAGACAGAACTCTTTTAGACTCTCATCAATGAGAAGTAGAGAGCAACACTGTGGGACCCAGAAGACTGTCTCCATTGGCTTCCTCTGCAGTGCTCTGTATACCAAAATCAGAACCACTGGAAGCTTGTTGGAAATGCAGAATTCACAGGTCTCATGGGAACCCCACTGAATCAGAAACCAGATTTCAATCAGCCCTATATGCATGCTAAAGTATGAAAAAGCACTTCTCTTGCAGTCTTTTATATTAGGGAGTCTCATGGTTTTACATGTCAACTAAAAATGTCCACTAGCCTCAAATCCATCTTTTAAAAGTTGTAACTAATGCAGGTATAATAAAATGTGAATGGTAGAATTTAGGTAATAGCTTTGCAAATGCTTTCAATAAAGTTCTTCAAATTTTATATATGAGTTTCTTAATAAAATATCAGGAGGAAACGCATTTAATCATGTTCTCTGAGTACCTTCTCTCCTGAAGGAAAACCAAGGGGACTGGTCAGAGATCAGTAAATAAAAACCAAACAACTTCCCAGTCTTTGGAATCTGGAAATGGACTGAATGAAATCTTACTTAGCTGTAAAGTGATGCCCAAGAAGGCCTCCTTTAACCTACAAATCAGGTGTTAGTAAAACTGCCATAGACAATATACTTGCACGATGGCCAACCTACAGGAATTCTTAATCCCCCCCAAAAAACACTTAAAATGGAACTGTCTTTTTTTCCTGTGTACCAAATATGCACAATCAGTAAGAAGTATGTATGATGTCCGGCTAAGGACATAAGACATATATCCTAGCTAAATAATTTTATACTTAACAAGTACAGAATCATCTTTTTTTGCCTCCTAGGCACCTATAAACTAGAAAAAGCCCAAAACAAATTTATTAAATATACATGATTACAGTGGAAATTATATTCCATCATGTCTTTATGTAATCATTTCTAGAATTTTTTTCCTGTATGGTAAAACTCTTATTTCATATGCAAGTTATTTAAATAATATCAACTGAAATTAAGAAAAAGTAATTTTTAAAATGAAGATTTCTGAAACAAAATTCAGGCTCAATCTAGTGTTGTTGTCTGAACAATGCACTAAATGAGTAACTGAAAATTTCTATTTACTAAATATTCCCTTGCTTTAATGGAAACTTATTCCAAAAATAAATACATCCTCGAAAAATTTCTGCCATAATAAAACTCTCTAAATACAACAAAATTTACTATAGAAATAAAAAAAATAATTCTGTGAAATGCACTTCCAAAGTAGAAGACTCAAATTTTGTCCCCGTCTTCATGTATATAACTGAGAAAAATATCTTTCTTGAATCCTAAATATCAGATGACTTCAGAGTTAAAGAAAAATTTTCAGCCAAAAGTAGTATCATGGTAACTGAATTAAAGCACTGGTCGCTCAAGAATAGAGAACATTACCGGGGATTTAGCTCAGTGGTTCTGCCGCCTGCCTTGCAAGCGCAAGGTCCTGAGTTCAATTCCCAGTACAAAAAAAAAACATTTAACAAACACTGTTCATTTCTTATTTTAAAGAGAAAATTGGACAAATTAAATGATTTAACATATAATAACAGTATGCTACCAGCTATGTATATTTATTAATGTGCTTGCCTTCCTGTCTCCAAAATACTGTTAGAATATGTATTAATAAATTATGATTAATGATTAAAATCATTTGATATATTTTGCCAAAAACAGATTTGTATTTATTCCAGATTTGCTTACCTGTCTTGTCTTTGCTGATGTTTCAATAAAAGGAATTCCGTAACTTCTTGCTAAGTCCTGAGCTTGTTTTGTGTCTACTGTTCTAGAAGGCAAATCACATTTATTTCCTACTAGAACCATAGGTACATCTTCAGAGTCTTTAACTCTTTTAATTTGTTCTCTGAGAAAGAAAAAAGTTATAGCAGAGGCATTAGTAACCCAAAATCCATCAAAAACTGTCAGAAGTCACAACTTTTGGCTTATAAATTTTTGCCTTTTGCCACAACTTTTGCCTTATGAACACTTTTCATAGTTCCTAATTTCTACCTTATCAAATTTTCTTGCAGGTTATTTTCTGGTTAACTGTAGAAGCACAGTAAAACTACAGTCTAATAGGTTCACATGCAAGTAGATCAAGATTAGACAGAAAACACTATGCCTAATTTAAAATACTCTAATCTTAGAAACATGGGTATGTGGCCAAATGTATATATATACAATTATATTTACCAAAACATGAAGTACAGTGTTAATGTAACTTTCACATTTTAGTAGTCACCCTTATCTGTGGGGTACACACTGCTAGACTCCCAGTGGATGCCTGACATGGCAGACAGTACTAAACTCTCTGTATATTGTTGTTTCCTAGACATACACACATAATAAAGTTTAATTTATAAATAAGACATAGTAACAGATTAACAATAACTAATAAAACAACTATAGCAGCCTATTGTAGTAGAGGCTACTTAAAGCTTATGAGCTGCTTATTTATGGAATTTTTTCAATTCAATCTTCTCAGACCACAGTTCAGTGTAAAAGAAACTGTGGATAAGGGAACTATTGTACTTTCCCCCAGAAGAAAGTGACAATTGGAAAGAATTTGATTTCTGTATGGGCAACTCTGAAGTTACTACACTGTTTATTATGTTAAAAGTCTTCTCCGTGTTGCAAATTTTCAATATAAGATGTGCAAAAGCACAGGGAAGGCTCTGGAGTCGGAACAGGCCTAGGTTTCGATCTCAGCACCACTACCATCTATACTATCTGGAACAAGTTACTCGGCTGCTCTTATTCTCAGGAACCTCACTTGTAAAATGGGAATGTTGCTTACCTCACAGAAATTATTTTAAAATTTAAATTAGATAATATAGGCATGGCAACTGGCAAACTCAATAAACGAAAGCTAGTTACTTCTCAATTCCAATTTATTATGTTCAACTTGAACCCACCTATAATGGTGAATATCTTCAAAAGATTTAGTATTATTTATGGCAAATACACAAAGAAAGCCCTCCCCAGTCCTCATGTACTGGTCCCTCATTGCACTGTACTCCTCTTGACCTGCTGTGTCGAGAATATCCAAGAGACAGGTTTCTCCATCAATTACTACTTGTTTTCTGTAGGAATCCTGAGAAGGGAGAAATACAGTCTGTATTATTATAGTGCACCTTTTAAAAAGGTGTTACATACAACAACAAAAAGACAACCCCACTCAAAATGGGCAGAAGACTTAAATAAATATTTCTTCCAAGATAAACAAATGGCCTATTAACACATGACAATATAGTTAACATCATCCTTAGTCATTAGGGCAATGCAAATCAAAACCTAGAGATACCACCTGGCACCTGATGGCCATTATTAAGAAACAAAAAGAAAAACAAAACAAAAATACCAGAAAATAACAACTGTGGATGAGAGGATGTGAGAAACTAGAATCTGTGTGCAGTGCTGTTGGTAATATAAAATGGTACAGCTATTATAGAGAACAGCTTGGCAGTTCCTTGAACAGTTAATGGTAGAATTACCATGTTATTCAGCAGTTCCATTCCTAGCATATCAGTGGAAATGAAAGCAGAGACTCAAGGTATACCAGTGTCTACACCATCTACTATTGCCAAAATGTAGAAACCATCTAACTGTCCATCAACAGACAGTTACACAACACTGCAGTGGTTGCACAACATTTTGAATGTACTTGATATCACTAAACTGTACACTTAAAATGGCTCTAGTAGTACACTGTGTTATGTATATCTTCCTACAAAAGTGATTTTTAAAATATCATATGGACAATCAACAATATAAATGTTAGTAACAAAAAAATCTACCTGTAAGAAATTACTACCAAAATAGAAGAGTTCTACAATTCTATTATTCCAGATGACTTAAATCCAAAACAAATCAATTTATAACTAATTATCACAGATCTACTTTATTTTTAGTCAAAAGAATATACAACAGAAGCCGGCTGTGGTGCACAGGCCTATCTATAATCCCAGCACTTGGAAGGTTGAGACAAGATTGCCACAGGTTCAAGGCCAGCCTGAATGTAGCTAGACCCTGTCTGTCATTCACACACGCACACACCAAAACAAAACAAAAACAACAGAATAGTCAATAAATAAGATTCTAATGCCCTTGTGAAAAGCCTGAAAACAGTATCTAACCACCCGATGGATAAAAAGGGCACAACTGTTTCATCTGCAAATTTTGAGAGCCTTCTATTAAAAAGATGGAAGTGGAAGTGGGGAAAGGGAGTGAAGGAAGAATGGAGAGACAAGAGAGGGAGAAAGAGAGGGAGAAAGGAGAGAGGGAGGGAGAGGGAGAGAAGGATACCGAGATCTTAGAGACTATTCAACTGTAAGAATAAGTAGAGGGCGGGCTTCCCTAGCATGCCAGAGGCACTGCCAGCACACATCACCTTCACACACACACACACACACGCACACTCTCTCTCTCTCTCCAACAGAATCTTGAATAAAAATCTGATTTTCCTCTGACTTTTGAGTTATACTTATGCCTAAAATTTCACACACTCTGCCAAAACAGGCCTCAAAAAATAAGGAAACGGGATGGTTATCATATGAAGCCATGGAATAAGAAGCAGAGCCAAGAAGTATGAAGTATACATAAAGGTACTATTTCTTATTGTTCTGCACATGGGCTTAACCCTTAGTTCACAAATCAATTTACTGACCATTCTATCACTTGGGGGAGAGGGGTCATTGCAAGTCATGATCTTGGTAAAATATTTTTAAAATGTTTATAGGACAAGAAGAACACAAAGGTATATATATAGTGTGACCCCAACAAAATGTGTGTACATGGCTGTATAAATGTATCTGCAGACATATTTAAAAACTGGTGGTATATACAACAAAGACTTTAAAAGGCTGTCTTTGATGGAGATGACTAAGGGAGACAGACCTATCTCTTGCTTTTCTCTCTCACTCTCTCGGTATGATACTAGATGCTACAATAAATGTGTTTCTTTAGATTTCATTTGAAATTTTTTGGTGCTACAGATTGAACCTAGAGACTAATATTGCTAAGCTCTACCACTAAGCCACGCCCTCCAGATCCTTTAGCCTTCAATTTTAAAGAGGATGAAAGCCTAGAACATTAGACTACCTTGCTTATCTATTAAAATATACTTCCTGTATTTTCTAAATTATCTAATAAAAATCAATGCTCTCAGCAGTCAGGAATAAAAGGATGGATATCTTCTGAAGAAGCTTTTAAATAAAGATTTGAATATTTGGTTGACAATTTTAACCTATTCACTTGATTAACTACTTGAGAGAATTCCTGTGGGATATAAACTGAAAACCAGAGTTTTGTTTTGTTTGTTTTTTAAATGATTAATTTGTATGTGTGTGGCAGTGCTAGGGATTGAATGCCCAGGGATTCCTGTGTACTGGGCAAGTGCTCTCTACCTCCAATCCAGAGCCAGTATTTCTGAATAATGAGAAAGCAGGAATTGAGAACAAAGTATAGTGTTTTACAGTCAATTTAACCCAGGTGTGGCTCAAATTATATAAAAGTGACCAAAAATTTTTTCTCACCTACTGTTATCAGTTCACATTTTGTATGTACCAATATGAACTAAAGTTATCCTTATAAGTGACATTTCCTTAGTCTTCAAATCTCAAACTATCTACAATAGAGTTAAACACTACAGTTTCTGGAGCCACACAAGCCTACCTACTACGTAAAGCAGGGCTGTGGGATTACTCACCATCTGCCTCAACAAAGTTCTACTCATGAAATCTTCAAACGCTGTTTCAAAGGTAGATAGAATGTAGAGTATTAACAACTTCTGCACATATTTCATAAGATGTTTCCATGATGAACACTCTACAAAGGGTCCAAAAAAACTGGAAAAGCAGTCTCTTTCCTATCAACCAACGTTCCTAAGAACATTGACAGCAAAGTTGGCAGCCCTACACTTGGTTAATTTTCTTTTCTTTTTTTTTTGACATAGGGCCTGACTATGTAGTTCAGGCTGGCTCTGAACTCATCATGCAGCCCAGGCTGGCCTCAAACTCATGGTGGTCCTCCTGCCTCGGCCTCTCACATGTTGAGATTGCAGGTGAGCACCACCACCCCATCTCGCACTTGGTTATTTTAAAAAGTAATTCACAACCTACTCATAATACTAGTGATTAGAGGTAATGGGTTTAGGATAAAACTCATCTTCTAAAGTTAGTCTTAGAATCCTTATTCCTGGAAGCATAATTAATCACTGAACTATATAAAAAAGGTAATATAACTTGGTAAAAATTAAAGAACAAAATTGCTAAATGACAAGATATAATCTCAAAAGAACTGACAAGTTTGAAGAGAGCAGAAAGTAAACACAAAAATACTACAGATTTTGTTCCAACATCAGGTTAGTTCTAAGGAAAAAAAAAATATGTGTACATAGGAAAAAAACTCTGCATTCATGTAGTATCTTTCCAAGAATTAAAGTCTAATAAGAGGCTTACTAGCAAACTATTCCTCACAGGCCCCATCTTGCCCACAGTTTTTGTATGGCTCAAGAGTTAAAAATAGTTTTTACATTTTAAATGATTGTTAAAAAATAAAAATAAAAGAACAAACAAAAACCTCAGAGAATATGTCACAAAGATCCTTCTGGTCCTTTACAGAAAAATTTGCAGTACTCATGATAAGCTAATACAGTAACTTCACAAATTTCAAGTACAGTTAACACATATTATTTATTCCCTTCATCCCTAAAAACAGAAGTCACCACTTTGTGAAAGAACAGGATATCAAGGCCCAATAAACTTTTTAAAAACACAAATTCCATAATGGAAGTAGTTAATGATGGAGCAAAAAAGAATCAAGATTTTATTGTTTTTTTGAGACAAGGTCTTACTATGTAGTTTAGGTTGGCCTCGAACTCAAGGTGATCCTCCTGCCTCAGCCTCCCGAGTAATGGGATTACAGGTATGCACTACCATGCCTGGATACATTTTAAATTAGTGTTATTTCTAGACTTTCAAATAATGTAAACTTTTATATCAGGTACACAGGTTACTAATATCTTTTAGGGAGCTAGGATAAAATAAAGTCACTTAAAATCAATCAACATAATAAAATAATAAATGAAAGTTATTCCATGTATTTTCCCTCACTCTCCAAGTGTTGTTTTTCTCATCTACTGACACAGTATATAACTTTTCTAAATGATATGTATTACGCTAGCAAGAGTGAACTGTAGATGAAATTAAAACATTTCCGGTAATACAGTAAGTAGACAAAATTCTCTCAGAAAACAATTATAGAATTTATCTAGAAGAATATAAATGTTTACAGATTTTAATAAAATAATGCCACTTATGGTAAATGATAAGGAAATCGTTCATTTTTTAAAATGACAATTATAACATACTTAAAACAGCACCCTAAAATGTCTTACAAAGAAAAATTACATAGGCACTTTACACTGACCCACCGTCTTACACTATTTATTTCCAGAATATACCCTAAATCCAAGCATCCACCACTACCACTTTTCTGTATTTCCACAGAGCAGCAAATGCGTATTTGTAAATAAGCCCTGAACTTTAAAGGCAATCAATACCTGTCGAATAAATGAATGAACCCATTCAAGGTAAATAGTACACGCACACACACACAAATTTCTGTTAAAATTCTAACAGTTAACATAAACACAATTTATCGGATTTTTCAATTGTATCAAACCCTCAAAATATCTTCCACTACATATACTGAATATTTTAAATGAATTTTACATAACCAATGTCCCTGTTTTCAATGAATACATTTGCAAAGGCGGAGTTTTAAATCTTTCAACAATTTGTTTTAAATTTTTTTCAAAACAGTCTTAGAAAAACAAGTGTAAGTTTAAGATATTATAAATTTGATTAAGAATGAAATTATAGAAATTTAAACTACAAAATACTAAGCAATAAATGGTTCCTTCAGGTACTATACAATATGAAAATATATGTAAAAATTACCAAAAGAATGCATACAGAGATTTTTAAATATTTATAAGGAAGAGAGTAAGATTGGGGAGAAGAATGCTATATTAAGTTCATATCTCATAAGAGAAGAGCTAAATAAACCAAATGTGGCAAAATGCTAAGATCT